GACTTCTAAACTCAAGTGACAATTTTCCAAATTGCTTTTCAAGAATTAAAAGAGAAAAGGCCCATTTGTACAGATTTTTAATCCACAGACTTGATAGCACCATCATCACGATTCGGCTGTTTCCCGGGACAGTAAGAAGGTCCAGATAAAGCTGCAACACACTTCCAGTTCCATTTTCCTGGGGACCCAAAGTGCTGCTCAAAGAGGCGGGAGAACGAGACAAGACAGGGACACTCAGAGCTGCCCCGGAGAGTTCATCTGTTTATGCAGAGGTGAGGACAGTTTTCAGAGTAAATAGGATTGTAAAATGGGGCTACGGATGTAGCTTAGTAACACCCAAACCACACATTTTCCTTGTAGAACAAAAACAAGAATCCGTTATAGTTCTACCACCTAGAAATTCCCACGGTTAATATTTTGATTAATATTCTTCCAAGGATGAATGAATGGTTGATGGGTGGACAGACATACACACAAATACCCAATACTATTATATGCATGGGAATGTATTTAAGAACCTATTACGACTAGTGGCTATCTACGGAGCAGGAGTTGATGAAATAGTAATAAAAGGATACTGAGTTTTATATACAAACACATGACTTGGATTTTTCATAATTACATGACCGTATTACTTAGTGTCTCTTTTTCTAAAATCGCGAGACCAATGCAATCATTCTTGAGAGTAATGAGGCGAGGTGAGGTGCTTTCCTGGGCATGCTGAGGGTGAGAGGGGCGCCTCCTAGCGAGGGAGCGCAGGCCCGGCTCAGAGGGGAGCCGAGCCGAGCGGGAGGTGGCGCCCCCGACCGGAGGTGGAGCAGCGGCGGAAATCTCGGCGGGAAGAGGCAAGGCGCCTGCGCCCGGGGCGGGCCTGGGAGCAGGGCTGATGCGCTTCTGCGCATCCCAATCTGCTTCTGTGGGTCTAAGGTGCCTTCACTTGGCGCTGTGTCTCCCGCGGTGCTGGGCGGGCTTCTCTCCTCCAGGTGTCTTAAGAAGACAGAATTGCCACCCAATCGGGGAAGGGCGAGGACGCGGAGCCTGGCCCCATGCCGCCCCCTGCCGGCCGAGTTGCAGGTAGCGCGGGGCGTCCCCCAGCGGTCAGGGAGACCCCAGATTAGCCGGGCCTGAGGGAGGGAGACTGGCAGTGGTTTGCTGCGATTGGGTTTTGATTTTCATTTCCATTGTTTCTCCATCCATATTTCCCTCCGATTGTGTTTTTTTTGCCTGATTTTAACCAACACCAGTCTTTCCTATTCTCAAAAAATTCATTACTTATTCATTGCACAGAAAAAAAGTTTTTGGAAACAGAAACACATTAAAATTTTATTCAAAATAACTTTAATCTCTTCATTCAAAGGTCAGCATGCTTGAAGAATTAATTTTCTTCTAGTTTTAAAAAAATACAGAAACGTGACGTATGACAGTATTTAAAAGAACTGGGCAATGCTGTTAGAAGTCAGACTTGGTGACAGAAAAGTCGAATAGAAAAGAGTGGAGCTTTCTGCCCTTTCTTTAAACAACAGGGCCTGGCTGCCTCCTGGCTTGATAGTTACTCTAGTCCCCAAGGAAGCTTCTCTTTTGCTCCTGGGCTGGGAGTAGATATGCTACATTTGCCCCTTTGCTGTGGCCAAGTTGGTCATGGTGGTCAGTGGGTCCAGGGAGGAAAGAAAAATGGGTCTTGGTGTTAACTTTCAGTAACTGGGAGACTCGAGAGTTTTTCACCCAGGGTGAAGGTCACCTCCACCCCTGCACCTGGTGCTGTCCAACCCACTGAAGGAATCAGACCACCGCCATCCTGAGCAGAGACCCCTCTGAACTGCCCCTCCCACCACAGCTGCACCTGGGACTCATAGCACGATCAGCCCTGCTACTGACAGTAGCCACTACTCCTTGTGCTTTCCCAAGCCTCATCCTTGGGCAACTACAGTGGACCCTCAAGTTACAACCAGCCTGACATACGAACAACTTGGGTTATGCCCGGAATTTTAGTTTTAACTTATGAGCGAAGTCTTAAGTTATGAACCAAATGCCAGCTGCTTGTGCTTCCAGATGATCTCTGATACAAACTTAATCCTTAAAGAGTTCTGGAAGGAACATTACAACATTCTTTCCTGTGCGGGGCTAGGTGAAAATTCCTGGGCCAGTGTCTCTCTAAGGACACTGAGATCTGCCTGTATACTGGAGAGAGACTTTGAGGGCTGTGTAGAGGAGCCTAAGCCTTCAGTTGTCCAACTTCAGTTGCAACTGGACCTCTCGATTAACTGAGCTCGAAAGTCAAGGGTCCACTGTGTTACCGCTTGTGCTGCCTCAAGCCTTTTTCTTGGCAAGTAGCCACAAGCCCCTCTCACTGAAATCCCCTCCCCATGACCCTACAGAAGACCCCATAGCTTGTACGCTGGTCTGGTCTCCAGTGCCAGAGCGGTCCCTCTCAGGTTTGTTCTGAAATAGACCTGTCCTGTGGAACTCCGACCTCTGTTTCTTCTTTTCATTTTCCCTAACAGCCACCATGTGGGGGTCTCCTTTCCGCCTGGCTAGGCTGTGAGTTCCCAACAGCAGGGATGTTCTTGGGGGCTCTGCATCTTTTTCCTTCACTTGGCAGCGGGCTGAAGTCCCTTTGGCCACTATCCTTTTATCCCCACAGTTTTTCATATAATCACATTGCTGGTACCTCGCCGTCACCCCAGGAAAGGCCACAAAGGAAGTGAAGCTGTGTAAGGGCGGCTTTGGGACAACCTCTCATGCACCTTCTTCCTCCCAGCTAGCTTGGGGCCCCTGAGCAAGAGCCTTCTTTATGGAAATTCTGGGGTTGTCCTTCCCCTGGGTCTGGTTGGGTTTTGGATTGCAGTCACTGGTTTGGGAGTGGAGCATCTACTTCATAGTTTGCATGTGGCACCCTGAATTCTGCTTCCTCCCTCTCAGCTCTCTTCTTCTTCCTCCTCTTTGCTCTTCTATTCCCCTGCCCCTTCTGGTCACCTGTAGCCTGGCAGAGGCTGAGCCAGAGAGAAAAGATGGCAGAAGAACTGTCTATGGAAGTGATAGTGTAGAGGGATGGAATGAAATCCTCCGGCCTTTGTATCCCCATGAATTGAAAAGTAATCTCTAGTGAGATCTGATTGTTCAGCAATGCTTAGTAGACTAGATTTTCCTGTGGGAAGACCCAGGAGGGCCTGTGTTCCTCTTCAAGTCATGCTTGAGTGAAAATAAAGCCTGTAGAGGTGAAAATCGGCAACAGGACCATGTCTGGACTGATCAGTTTACATTTCTCTCTTCTTTTTTAGAGTCAGTAAGTGAGGTAGAAAGTCTGCATGTCTCGGAGTTAGAGGCCTGAGTTCTTGCTCTGTGCTTAAGAGCAAAGCCCCTAATCTTTACTCAGCTCCATGTGTTCATCCCCAAAAGAAAATAATAGTAGTTCCTGAAAGACAGGCTCCCATGATTGTTGTGGGATTCATGTGAGCTGGAAGGAAGGGTGGATGTTCCTTTGAAGCTGCGTTTGCAAATTTTCCAATCTTGAAAGTGTTAGTCCCAGCGAGAAAGAACCAACCAGAGACCGATAGTAAATCCACACAGGAGTTTATTACCGGCCGGGACCCAAGCCAAGCATCGGACTTGAGCCCCAACTAGGGGGAGACAAACATGTTTTATACATCTTTGAGGCCAACAGTTTCTAGGCTCCCCTATGGGATAGAACTAGCAAAGCAAGAGAAAGGTAGAGAAGCAGAACATCCTGCTGTTAGAACATTTGTAAAACAATAGTTTATTAATTGTTGTTTCTAAGAGACTCTCTAAGGGGAAGAGGTTTCTAAGCTTCCTCCTTCTGAGTTCATCTAAAGGACAGGCAGGTGGGTCAAGCAGCAATAGGAGTCTGTCTTGCTAACTAGGGTCCTTCAGAAAGTATTTTGCCTCCTTTCACTTGATTCTCCTGCATTTGGGCTGGGGATTTAGCTCAGTGGTTCCGCTGCCTGCCTCACAAGCAGAAGGACCCGAGTTCAATCCCCGGTACCAAAAAACAAACAAACAAACTCCTGCAGCAGTGCTGGAACCCACAAGCTAGCAAGTCTGACACAGGCGACCCGACTCAGCTGGACGGCACCATCCTTCCACCATGTAGTAGCAGCGCCTCACACTTGTCAGTCAGGAATCTGAACTAGAATTGGTATTAATTTTCTTGAAAAACCAAGGCTCAGAAAGGTTGAACAACTTATCCAAAGGAACACATCTTGGCCACAACAAGGCCAGCACTGAAATTTAGCCAAGAAAGCTTTTAACCACCCTTTCCTTCCATCGTCTCCAATAAAGGTCAGTTGGGAATGTTTCCTTGGAATTAGCCTGGGATGTCACTGTGTCTCATGACTATGCCATGCAGGGGACACAGGAAAAGGAGCAGAAGATCCCAGTCTCTTAAGTGCTAGGGGGAGGATAAGCCCATTATTCTTAATGCATTCAGCTTCCTTTTCTTTTAATAATAGTCTCCACATGGCATTAATAAAGCTGAAACATCCATTTGGAAGTCTTTTTAAAGTTTTATAGAGTAGAATTTCAAAATAGACAACTAGTAGGCCACTTCTATGCTAAATGAGTCATTTCAAATTACAAATTCTCTCTCCATATCTCAGAACTGGTGGGATGCTTATGTTTCTCGGCAACTCAGTGTAGAGATATTCTGACCTGAACCTCTGTAAATATCGATTGAGCCATTCGATGCTAAATACTTTCTGGTCTGTAGATTGTCGTTATCTTTCTCAATTCCAGAACTAAGCCTTGTGCTGGGTTAGGACGCAGAAGGAGTCTATAAGACTCTTGACACTCATACTGGCCCTCAAAGAAGATGATCATCTAATTCTGACCACCTTCCACAACCAGTAAGAGTTTTTCCCTTAAGTCACATACTGTATATCTGCCCTTATTCTTATTTGTGTACATGTTGGTTATTTATAAAATATATACTCAAACATAAGAGAATTATATCCCTCCCATTAGCATACTTTGACCATGTTACCTACCATAAAAGGCCGGCTGATTCCTTGTAGTTGTCAAAGTGGATTTCAAGTGCACCTGTCCACCTACCCCCCAAGTTCATTCTGGGGGTTTCTCATGGGCAGGTCGGTAAAGATAAGCCCTTCACCCTTGAAAACAAGAAGTGGAAACATTTAGAAAGGGACACAGAACAAGGTGAAAATATAAAGCCCTAGGAGCAAAAATAGACTGTAAAAATGAGAGTTCTTTTGGAATCCTGTTGGGATTTTATTTTTGCAGGTTTATTTCAATAACTAAGCTAAAGTGAGAATTTTCACATCAGGACTGACTCTTTTCTTTTTCCCAGGTGCAGAGATGATAAAGAGCTTTCTCACTCCCCCTGCTGAGTGCTCCAGTGTGTTCAGGGGCAAATCCTGCAGGCTGAGGCCCCCGGTACCTGTGAGCACACTGCAAGGACTAGTTCTGCAGCCAGGGACCAGGGATGGAGCACAAGCCAGCATGCGGAGGTCCCCGGACACTCTTCTGCTACAGGATTCTTTGAGAACTCCTGGCCTGCACTCCTTCTCAAACCGCAGTGGGTGACACTAGGGGGAGAGAACTCTGCTGGCCCAAAGACACCATCAGTTAGTTTTCTCCTTTCTGTGGGAGAGAAGGAAATGAGGGCTCCAGAACAAGCACCACCACAATGAGCTGGTGCTACCTCTCTCTATTTCTTCAGATATTAAATTAAGCCAAGTATATAAAACAATAATCTGTCTTCTTAAAATTCACACTCAGCCTTGGGGAGCTGCAAAGAGGATTTCTGCACAGGTTATTGTTTAAGGACAGAATCCTTTTCTCCCAGAACATATAGCAGAGCAAAAGCCAGATAGGGTTGGGGAGCAGAATTGCCAGGCCTTGTCTTTCCTGACCATCAGCACGACTGTCCTGTTCTTCTCACTTTAATTTGTAGTTTGTTTAGGGAACCTCAGTTCAAATGATATGGGAGAAGCATAACTCCTAAGCCTGCTAGATGTCAGATGTGCCAAGTTTGTGTCCCCTGAAGTCAAAGAATGAATTCCAAAGGACAAAGGAGGTTGAGTAGGAAAGTTTTATTGAGAGAGAACTCCTGAGAGACAGAAGGGGTCCTGAGTGGGTTACCACTGAGGCCCTTTGTCAGGGGTACTTTATACAACAAAGTCACAGTGTGGGTACAAAGTAGGTCAAGCTATAATCAACCAATAAGGTTACAAGTATAGCCACTTAGCTAATATTGATCCAATAAGAAAGCAGGGCACATACCAAAGGTATGTGGCTGACATCATTAACTTTGGCTTATCTATGACATCTAAATCAGGAACATTTTAGGGAAGGGATGGGTCCAGGTGTTCTGGTCACTCACCCCGGTGTCTGATGAATACCTGGACTCAATGGATTGGATGGTACTAATTACAATACAGTCTCAAGTTCTGCTTATCCCTTAGGGAAGCATGCAAGTCTGGCCATTACAACATTATCTTGGGCCCTTGCCTTCTTCAGATGTGCCTCCAGCCACAATTCTGATGTCCTTAATTTTCACTGATTTCCTTGGGAGCCCAGTCCAGTGGTGGCAAACCTATGGCACGTGTGCCACAGCAGTCATGCAGAGCCCTCTCTGTTGGCATGAGAGCCAAGTTCTCAGCATCACCCCAGCAGCTGAGCATTGGATATTCAGATTTAATTGCAGTGCTGGCACATTGTGATAAATAAATCGTTTTGCGTTGCAATTTGGGCATTTGGTATTTAAAAGGTTTGCCATCACTGGCCCAGTCCCTCTCTGACTATATATTATTTTCTATCTAACTTAGCTGCCTATAATACTAACACTTTCCCCCATCGAAAGTCAGACAACAATGAATCAGGCAGATTGCTTATTGCAGAAGTTCCTGGAGAAAAGGCCTGGAAAAAAGCTGTACCAACTCTTTCCAAACCTCAGTGAGAAGAATATTCTGTGATTCTGAGGCAGAAGTGATATGCTTCAACCTATAGGTAAGGAGCCATCCAGTTTCAGGGCAGACCTGACTGACATTAACAGCCCATTGTTAGCCTGCGATCTAGAGATACATGGGATCCAGATTTACTTGCATTGCTATCCCTACTGTCTCTGGAGTTGGTGAGCTCTGGACTCCTGCAGAGCTATTGCAGTGGGTCATTTCTTGATAGCAGTCTTACCTGCCCGTCTAGCATTTTCTTTGCTAATCCTCACTTGGTGACATTCAGGTGCATAGCACACACTCTGTGCGCTAGCTGTTAGGCCAGACCTTTCTGTCCCTTTCAAAACAACTAATGGAATGTAGTTGTGTGGGAATGACAAAAGAGATGAACTAAGATTGGAAAAGGAATTCATTTTCAAGCATTAATACTCTATTGCAATTAATTACCTGCCTGCCAAATAGCTATAGAGAGAACCATTGGCCTGGCCCACGGGACTGGCTTTCTGCTAAGATGCTGTGAGGACTAGAGTCTACCCATGGGCATGGAGTCCTGACCACCTCCATAGCCCTTGCCAACTCCATCTGGTGGGACAGACCCTTTATTCTGTACTTTCAACTATAGGTTGCTCTCTTGTTTTGTTGGGGAATATTACTAATGCTTTTCCAATGATAAATTACAAGAGTTGCCAAATTCTCCTTTTATAGGATTACTTGCAATTGGGTTTCCATCTCTTACACACAGAATCAAACTTGGGTTTTCTATGATGGGATTAGGACTCCTGGTCATGCCTGTTAAAGATCATTGTAGCAGCTAGGATACTGATACCATGCCTGGTCAAGCCCACAACTATGTCTCCCTCAAAAAAGAATATTTAGCAAAAATTATATGAAATTCCATACAGTGACCATAACTAAAATTTTATGTTCAAGTCCTTTTAATTTCCATACTCTCTATGCCTTCATGCTGAAATGGGAGACCGAGTAGTTGTCCAGAACCGGCATGCTGTCATCGCTTGGCACCATTGCTCAGTTGTTAAAGTCCACTCCTAATTACAGTTATCAAACAGTGTTTCAAGGGCCACAAGTTTCACCAGACACTAAAATCTAAAACTTATTTTATTTTATTTACTTTTTTTGGTACCGGAGATCGAACTTGGGTCCTTGTGCTTCGGGGCAGGCGGCAGAACCACTGATCTAAATCCCCAGCCCTAAAACTGATATTTATTGCCTGTGCATACCCATCATGACAGAAAAAAGAAAGAAAAGAAAAGAGAAAGGGACTTTGAATGCTTTACACTTAAGAAGTAGTGGAATGTGGATTATTTTGCTGTCGACTAGATATTAAATCACTGTTTTATTGTGAAATGACACTATACCTGAGTTGAAATAATACTATGTATGGTGACACTGTAAGACTAAAAATTTCATGACAGAATTCCCAAGTCATAAGAGTGCAATGGCCAGAAATATTAAAAAATTTAAAATGGAATATCTTATCTTGGTAGTTTTTTTCACAAAAATGAAAAATGAGAATAAGGCCACAACAAAATTAGTATTCCAAGTGGTTCATTTGTTAGCCAAATAAAACTATTTGCTACTTGTGAGTTAGTTAAATGTATACTTGTGAGTTAAATGTATTTAATCATTGTAGTTGAAGCAGTATGTCCTACGAAAATGAATTTATTTAAGAACATCAGTTTTTTGGCAAGAACAAATGCTGCAAGAGTTGGGAACATTGGGAAAAGCACCAATCATTAATCTAAAAAAACCAAGGCAAGTGATTTTAAATATTTTCTTTGGGTCTTGATGAGTTAACAGATATTACTGATAACTAGGAAAGATTAAGTATGCATTTATGCAGTAGACCACCAAGAAACAACTTGAAGTCAATAACACTTTATTCAAAGGGTCAAAGACAAATTTAAGGTAACTGAATAACTAGAATGTATGACTAGTTGACATGAAACAATTACATGTGAAAGTATTTTCAAAGATATTACGAAAACACTAATTTAGTATGATTTGAAGTATAATCTACTAAGATATGTTATAACTGGTGGCGATAAAAATATGTGCAGAAACAGGTACCTGCAGAAAGAATCAAATCTATTTGAATTTATTTTGTAATAACAGCATAGTTATTTGTTATTGAACCATGGTGCTACTGATAAATTTCCCTGGTTCTCATGGATTTAACCATTGTCAATTCTATGAATGCTTACGAGAAATAGAAGCTGAAGATCCTGATTTCTCCAGGCAAATGTTAGTGTGATAGCAGTGGTAAAATTTTATGCTAACTTTTGAGATTAGGACCAGGATTGAAATTTTTCTAAGCAGGAAGAATCACCGTCATTTATTATTTTCAAACACTAAGTGGTTTTGGAAATTAACTTTTGCTACAGACTTGATAATGTTTGTTAAAGAATTCAACCTAGGGCTGGGGATTTAGCTCAGTGGCACTGCGCCTGCTTTGCAAGCACAAGGTCCTGAGTTTGATCCCTGGTACCACAAAAAAAAAAGAAAGAAAGAAAAAAAAAAGAATTCAACCCAGAACTACAAGGTAAGACAGTACCTATACATGAAAATTATTAAATTGTTTTGTCCACAGCTCAATGAATTATAAATTACGTCAAACTTCTTTTATATATTTCCCGTGCTGTCAAAAGTTAAAACAAGAAGTGAGATCTTCAGTATCATTTGTGTGAAAAGACATTTTAAAGGATGAAATATATAAAATCTCATTACAGATCACATTAAGCATTAAATATTTGCAATTAATTTTGACAGCAGGGAAAACTAACTTTAAAATGGGTTATTGTTTTATTATGAATTTCATCAATAAGAAAATCTTTCTTGTCTTTTATCTAAGCCAAATTTGTATATCTGATGTGTTCTGAGTCCCTCTATTTTGTAAAACTTGGCTAGAGAGGAAGTACTTATTAATGAGTAAGAAGTTATATACTTGGTTAGAAGAATTTGGGAAAAAACATAAGGCAGAACAGGGTAAATGAGTTTCAGAAATATCAGGAGTCTGGGTGATTTTCAATTTAAATAGGGGGTCAGGGTAAGTCTCATTTAAAAATTATAAGGACTTAAAGGAGAAAAAGTATAAATGGTCAATGAAAATAGGAAAAAATTCTTCAAGGTCAATAGTAAAACAAATAAAAGGTAAAGAGAGTTGAGAGTATTTATAAAATCAGCAAAAGTAATAACAGTATCAAAAATTCCAAATAATTTCTCTCATCTAGTGCCAGTGGAAATGTGAATTAGTAACATTCTTTTGGGGATCACTTGGCAACATAACAAAAGCCTCAAAAATATGTTTACCTCTTGATTTAACAATTTCAGTTTATCCTAAGCAAATACATAAGCAAGTGTCCAAAGATACTTCCCAATGCTTGAAAATCATCCTTGTTCAATAGGGAAAATTATCCTATTTCTGTTTCTCATTTCTCCAGAGATTAAACTATGTACTGAGTGCTTCAATGGAAAAGAGAAGGCAGTATTAAATGACAACAAAAAGTATCCTTGTAAGCAATGTCAGAAAACTTTGTTAATTTTTTATTAATTATGGTTTGAAATGTTAATTTGCTATCTTCAAAACTAACTTTACCTGTTTAATTTAAGATGTAGCTTTTTAGATGTAGCTCCAAAAATATTGAAACTAACATAAGTTGACAAGCTGCCTGTTTAAGAATGAGTGACAATGGTGCTACTGGTCAGGTCTGGGCTGAGTCACAGCCAGAGTCACTGGGGCATTGTGACAAGCAGGGTTTTCCCTCCAGGTCTCCCTCTTGCCAGAAGAGCCATTTCTGAAGCAAAGACGCAGTCGTTCAATTTAAATCCAGCAACTGCCCACTCACATCCCAAAGTAAATTCTTCTCTCTCAGCCTATATATGCCCTCCATGATTTGTATGGAGATCACAGTCTGGAATTTTCTAGAATAATCTTGATTTTAATAACAATTTTGCTCCATCATTCTGATGAAATACATGTGTCAGATGAAACTTTTGGATCAAAATCAATATACGTGTATATACTTACTGTTTCTATAAGTCTAGAGGTTGTTCAATTTTTTTTTGTACCGGGGATCGAACTCAGGACCTTGCATTTGTGAGGAAGCAGTGGCACCACTGAGCTAAATCCCTGGCCCTTGAATTTTTTTTTTTTGGTACCGGTGATCGAACTCAGGTCCTTGCGCTTTTGAGGCAAGTGCCAGAACCACTGAGCCAAATCCCCAGCCCCCTTGAATTTTTAATATCCATAAGTGCAATGTTTTTTCTTAGTTCTAGACATTTTCCAAGTTTTCACTTTAAAAAGGCACAGAGAAATCTATATTTGGAGACCAAATTTATATTGCATTTCATGCAGAAATCCTTTGTAGATTAGCATAATACATTCAAACTGCTCTAAGTAATTAATTAACTTGGTGGGTCACACATGACCATTATCACTGTTCTGGCTTCTTTTAGATGTGCTCATAGGTGGGGATTTTCAGAGGTGGCTGGACTTAGGGTGTGTGAATATGGATTAAAGGTGTATCATAATTTAGTCTACTCATTGGTTTGGCATAATTTGGGGAGTGGATAATGGAAAGGCCCACCCTAGGTGTGATTGGCCCCAAAGAATAAGCTTGTAGCCTGAATGGAATAAAAGGGAAAAATTGTGATGCTGCTGCTTCACTGCTTCCTGCCTGCCCTGCCCAGTACTGTTTCTCTTCTGCAGTGCCCCTCTGCCACACAGCCAGCTGACTAGGGACTGAAACATCTACAAACTCTGAGCCAAAATAAACATTTCCTCTTTTAACTTATGGGTGTTGGGTATTTTGTCTCAGCCATGAAAAAGTAACTGAAACAATCACTATCCTCTAAAGGTCAAAATGTCAAAGCCAGCTATTGTCTTTGGGCATCAGTAGAAACTTTTTCTAGGTATGACTGCTGCCCTGCACAACCAATTATGAACCACCCTTGTCAGAATGTGATTTCTAAATAGCTGGTGCTGCTAGCTGGCAGTCTCTCCCCATGCTTTCCAGAGATTCCCAAGATTTTCCCATAGCCCACACTGAGCACTGCAATCAGCTGCCCATGGACACCACTAACAGACTTAACATTAGGGGTTTTCCTAAGCTCAAGTCTTGATTGTTGCTCCCAAGATAATTCACCCATTACTGGGGAGTACTTGATTAAAATAATGTTAATGCTCTTGTCCATTTATTTATATTAATAACATTAGAAGGGATGAATAAAATTCCACATCATTTAAATGAAGAAAACAGAAGTGTAGCTTTGTCTGTGCATGACAGTAAAAGACTTGGCCTTCTAATAGGGCAATATAAATATATAATAATGCATGCATAGGTCAAAAAGGTTGACAGTATAAAAACATATGTTCCTTGATGGCCAATTATAGGCCACATATTCAGTTTGGAGGAAAGAGGAAATTTATACAAGCATAAAACATGATTATATTTTTTCAGGGACCTTATTTAAGACAACAAAATAAATCCATACAGCAATTGCAAATGGAATAACTTTACACCCACACATTCAAAAACCAGGACTAGAGTATCAGTCTGCTAAAGCCCTTCCTGCCTGCAGATCTGTCTCTTTCGGGTCATTCTCCACAGTGCTGTCAGCTGATTTATTTAAAGTGTGACTCTAACATTTTATAACTCTGCGTTACATCCGTCAGTGTTTCCAGCATATGCCTACAGGATAATACCCAAGCCTCCCTTCAGAGGTCAGATTCCAGCCTGTTGGACACGCTCCTTTCTGCGCCCCCTACTGGGCTCACTATGAGTGGTGCCCTGCACAAACCCCTCTTGGTTCAACCCGATTCATTCTTCAGAGACAGCTCAGGACAATTAAACATCCTTCCCACTCTCAGCACTGAGGGAGGAATTCCCTTCCTCTGTACTCTGTCCAGGGAAATCTCTTGTGTTCGTTACTTTTCCCTCATTGCCAGTGATAGCCATGTCTCTGTCACCATTCCTTTGTGACCTCATGTATCTCACAGCTTTGGTTTGTTAACTCAGATCTTTATATCTAGCCTGGATCTCTTTTGAGCTCCAACCTCTTACATCCATTTGCCTACCAGTCACATCAATTTGGATGTCTCAGAGACCCTAAATTCAGCATATCCAGATCAGTTTATTTTTCCTGTATCTGAGGTCCGCAAGCCACCCTTTAACTTGATGATTCCCTTGAAGGACTCTTGAGACAGAGAATTGTTGTGTTCCTGGCTATGAACTGTCACAGAAAAAGGACACAGATTAGAATCCGTAAAGGGAGAAGAGAGAGGAGTAAAGTCTAGGAGACACCAAGTGCTCTCCCCCAGTAGAAACAACAATAATGTGTGACAATACTTGTGAAGTGTTGTGACAGAAGTTCTCCTGGGCTTTGGTGATTGCGGTTATTATTAGGGGTCAGTCAGGGAGGTATGCAGAACCCATCAATGACTGACATTAGCTACTCAGATTCCAGCCCCAGGGTAACAAGAGGCATTTACCGTAAGTCACGTTAGGACAAACTTATTTGGTCACGATGGTAGAGCATGACCCAAGGCCCAAGGCATACAAAAACACTCCTAGAAGGTGGAATGTACCAAAGATCAGAGGTTATTCCCCAGGATTCTGCATCTGTCAAAAAGACAGATGTTTCTTTGATGTAAGGTGCAAGTCTGCTGGGTGAACTACTTTCTGCACAATCCTCAAGGCTGTTTTGCCTTAAACCCTATTATCCTCCACTACCCAAGCCAGGAACTGGACTAGATTGTTTCACTCAACCCCAGCATCCAATGAGTCTACCTGTAGAGTGGACACTTGACTTACGAACTTAATCTGTTCCCAAGGGCTGTTTGTAACTCAGATTGGTCAATTGAAGGCTCAGGCCCCTCTTCACAACCTTCAAAGTCTCTCTCTCTCCTGTATATAGGAGAGACACTGGCCCTCTTTAGTGTCCTTAGAGAGACATTGGCCCAGGATTTCTCAATTAACCCCACACATGAAAGGATGTTGTAATGTTCCTTCCAGAATGCTTTAAGGGTTAAATCTGTATCTGGAAGCACAAGTAGCTGGCATTCGGATCATAACTCAAGACTTTGCTCATGTTAAAACTAAAATTCCGGTCATAACCCGAGTTGTTCATATGTCAGGCCAGTTGTAACTCGAGGGTCCACTGTAACTCGGGGGTCCATACTGCTTCCATGTAGAACTTAGAATTGTGATAAATGCTGACAGAAGTATATACAATTAAGGCATTTGTAGTGAATGCTCTATAATAGAGGAATATGGCAAGGAGTGGGAATAGTTTCATGTCACATTTGTGCTCAAATTATTCAATAGCATCATCAAGCCTTCAGGATACATTCAAAACTTTTGTATCCGTGATCCTTTTAGCCAGGCCACAGTCTACCCCCTCCTACTGGTCTCCTGCATCCTCATTCAGGCCATTTGTAGTTTCCTTAAAGGTCATGTGGTTCCACCTCTGACCTTGAATGTTCTGTTCCCTCTCCCTGGAATGTTCAGTCTTTAGTACTGAGCTGAACATCCCCACTCATCCCCACTCCTTGGTCTAAGATGCTTTTCTCCTTCTCTGCTCTTAAGCACTCCAACACCTTCATCAGAGCGCTTAACTAGCTGCCTTAAGTTGCCTGTGTACTTGCTCCTAGGAGTGGATTATTAGTTTCTGAGGACAACATCCAAGTCACCTTCAATGTTAGATCGCCAGCGCCTGGCATAGCAGCAATCCTGAGGTATTCAATCAACATTTACTAAATAGGGAAATTCAATTTGGAGAGCAAATAGGTGACTGCCTGTCTACAAGAATCAGAGAAAGGGCTGTGATGGAATGCTAGAGCAAGGCCCTGGGCGCAATCCTGCAGTACCAAAAAAAAAAAAAAAAAAAATCAGGAAAGCTTTATAGATGTAAGAACACTTAAATTGATATTAAAGAAAATTAGTTGATCAGATTAAAGAGAAAACATACCATAATCTTAATACAATTCCTGATGTTCAAATGTCAGCTCCACCACACACTAGCTGTATGGAACGGGACATGTTTCTTCTCTTTTCTTTGTGGCAGTTTCCTCATCTGTGAAGTGATGCAGAGTGGTTGTATAGAGTGTTTGGGAGAAGGAAAAGAACTTGCTTATCAAGGCTTGGGATGGCACAGCCTGGGACAGCTAGGGTGCAATGCGCTTTTAGATTTTTCAACGTTTCTGTTGTCCATAATAATTTGATTGGATTACAGATGTGTAGCTCACCCTACACATCTGTATAAGGCTGCTTTTTTGCATCAGTTCTGCTTTAATACAGCATACTAAGTATGTTCCTAAAAATCACAATATGCAAAACTGCACAATAAAACTATAGAGCATATGGGGCACAACACTCAAAATTTCATCAGTGGGTCATTTTTTTAAAAAAGGGGGGGATCCTAATAAAAACTGTAGCATTTTAGATATGTTAAATGGTTAAAAGCACAATATATATACTTCACCTTGAAAAAGATCAAGTTTGTGGAAGTAGGTGTGGAAGGCTGCAGCTTGTGACATGGCGGAGAGGTGCCTGAGATCTGAAGGGAAACAGGCGATGTGTGTTGTTTACGACACGTGTGGTTAATTGAGGAAGCTGGAAGACTTTGAGATACGTGTGTTTTGTATTCCTATGCAGCTTGGGTCAGCTGGGTGTAATTTTTTGCATTTTCCTACTTTTTCTCATAGAAAATGTGCACATAAGCAAAGGGAAATTTTACATTATGTTTAAATTGTTCCCTATATCAATATTTCTGGGGTTTTCCATTGCATTTATAAAACAAGGTTTAGAGGAGAGCTGTGAATTCAGATAGACCACAGCTTGACTGTACATTTCAGGAACTACACCTGAGGCATGCATTAAAGGAAGTTTTTTGGGGGAGGGATTTAGGACTCAATTAAAACTCAAATCATGGTTCTGCTTACTCAGAGAAGGCTTTGTGCCATACCAGGGTGACCATTCCTCCCAGTTTACATTCATAGTAAGAGGACCAATCACAAATAGTTCCCCCCCTTGTTCGATTTAGTCACCAGAGCTATAATTAGCAAACCCCAGTTATGCAGAGCTTTGGGTTACCAGGTCCAGAGAGATAGATACTTGAGGTAAGAGGAATGTGTTCTCCCAGATTTCTGCCCATCACCCCACAAATGACTGTGTTAGGATACATACTGCTTCCTGGCCCTCACTGGCAAGGCCAGAGTACACCTGTGAGATTTGCCATAAGCTCTGTTAAGTTACCAAATAATTTAAATGAAAAGAATTTATGATTTGTTTTATGTATCCAGGTCTTTGCCCTTAATAAAAATGGGCAATACTGGTTCAGAAACAACAGCAAAGTTTATTTTTCATATCCCAGTTAAAATTTCCATTTTAAAAAAGATCTAAGTAGTTTATTCTAGAATAACATGTCAAGAATGTGTGGGTAGTTGTTGGATTTCTCTTTATTTGGGACATTATCACAGAATTTGAAAAAAATTTTTGGCAAAGTTTGATTTCACTGGGATCAACTAGAGAGATTTTCAATATTATTTAGTACTTCTTGGTTGAAAAAAATTTTTTAATGTGAACATTACCTTTCAAGATAAGAGACTAAAAGTACTTAAAGTTTGATATTCCACAAAAGCATTGTACTTTTAGATGACTACTTGAAAACTGCATTTGATCGAACCTCTTCACTCATCGAAAATTAGACATGCATAGATGTGTTTATTCTGAAAGTCTTGTTATGGCTTGTATCTAGAGGCCCTCCTAAAGCCTTATTGCTGTCATAGAGGTGGCTGGATCTAGAGTGCGTGATGCTGGAATTGAGGGTGTATGATCACTAAGTTAGTCTACAGATGGTTTGGCATCGTTCTGAGTGTGGATAATGAGAAGGCCCACCCTGGGTGTGAGTACTACCTGCCCTAAGGACGTCTGGCCTGGATATTGTATAAAGGACAGAAAGAGGGCTGTCGTTGGCACTTGCTGCTTGCTTCCTTGCTATTTTACTGCTTTGGTGCCTTCCTGCTTCCTGCCTGGCATGAACTTTGCCATGCCACCCTGCCAACTATGAACTGAAACCTCTACAAACTATGAACTGCAATAAACTTCTCCTCCTTTAACTTTGGGTGTCAGGTATTTTGTCTCAGCAATGAGAAAAGTGACTAAGTTGTTCCAGGCTCGTATACACAGGAGGAAAAAAAAAGGAGTCAAGGTAGGCAGGAAAAAAAATTGTAAGTAGCACCCATACTTAGAAGCTGGTTCCAGCAGTCCAGGGTAAGCAGTCTGTACCTAGGGAATACGTCTGATCTCACGCCTGGCTAGGGTGAACACATAACCCCCTCAGGCATCATAGGTAAAAGAGAACTGGATCCAAACAGCCAGAATGGAGGGCAGGTTTTAGTTACATCTGACTTAACTGGCACAACTGCTTCTTGTTTTCTAGTACCCAGGGCTGGGTGGTTTCAATGAAGCACTATCTGTAGGTAGGAACTGTCTTGACAGACCAGAAACAGGACATCTGAATATCCAAATGCAGGTGCAGCAGGGAAGCTATGGTAGCTCATTGGTCTACAAGCAGCTCTTCTCAAACTGAGTAAAAATGCCCACACCTTATTTAATTCCGTTACCTTACCTTTCATGATGAACTAGTTCCAAAAGTTTACTGGACCTCTGGACAAAATGAAGCTTCTGGCCACTGTGACTGTGGTGGCAGAGGGATGTGGGACACGCTAACCACTGAGTGGACAAAAAGGCAGGACAGGAGTGCTGTCTGGACAGAGCAGAAGAGCTGCCTGTATGCATCTTCCCATTATTCAGTGGCCTGGAGACGATCATATTAGATCTCTAACGCCCTCGTCTCCCAAAGATAGAGGGCCAACCCAAGTAGTTGCCATCGTAAACTCTCTCTCTCTCTCTCTCTCTCTCACACACACACACACACACACACGAATTATACACATGCACCAACTGATCATTACTTTTGGTGTTCTGGTGTTGAAGATTATAGGTGGAAGCTAATGGGTTAAGACTTGAACAATTTCACATAAAAAACCTTACCAGCAGCCACTGCCATGGTGTGAAATGTTGAAAAATTCAGAAATCACAAGATATGGATGTTTAAGTTCTAACTTTAATATTTTACTAGTATGTGACCTTGAGATCATCAATCAACATGTTATCAACTCTTTAAAAGTAGGGAGGTTAATATACTCTCACCTGATTAAAAAAATCAGAAGAAAATGTGTTCTGTGCACTGAAGGGTATTTTAATAAATGGGTAAAATTACCATTTGGACATTTTGAAACTTCCTATTATAAAAAGGCTCAAGAAGGTTAATAAGACTTAAAATACTTTCCTGCCAAAGCTCACGAACATCTGAAGCTTTAAAAAGCAGTAATAATTAGCTCAGTGGTTCTGCCTCCTGCCTCGCAAGCAGAAGAACCCAAGTTCGATCCCCAGTACCAAAAAAACCCCAGTAATACATCTTTTGCAGAATATGGTTTACTGTTTTCATAATAAATGGATGAAATACCTACATCATCCACAACACATTGTCAGTGCTCACCGAAGCGCAGCATGTTCTATCCCCCTCCCACCTTGTTTGTAACTAGGATACAGGTGGAAGGCTTCGGCTTCTCTTTCAGGTGTGCATCTTAAAATCACCCCACACTACCCACCAGTCTGCTTTCTCTGATGTGGCAACTCAGGGGACAAGTGTTCCAGATGGCAGAGCTGAAGATGGGGGACTTTTCTGGTAGTAGTGCTTGGCATTGAACCCAGGGAGCACTATGCTAAAGCCCTAGTCCTCTTATTTTTTGACACAGGGTCTCTTCAAGTCACTAAGTTGCCAAAGATGAGCTTGAATTTGATCTTCCTGCCTCAACCTCCTAGAGTGCTGGGATTACAGGTGTCACTATGCCCAGCAAGATTTAAACTTTCATAGTAAGCCACTCCACTTTAATGTCTGGTACTCGTAGCATGACTCTTCTAGTACTATGCAAGAAATCAAGTGAGAAAGGGTTAGAAACAATCATAAAACTCCTACCACCTTGAGAAAGAAGTTGCAGGACTCTAACCCAAATGTGCTTTTTAAATTTCATCAGTATTTCATTGTATGCTCAGTATGTTAAACACTACACTTAGAGCAGTTATTTCTGAATTTTAACTCTATGAATATTGAGTTGGGTTGTTACTTATCACGGGCATTACAGTATTTCTTGATCGCTGTCAAATTCATTAAGTTTTCTTTTTAAACATCAACTAAATCCAAGTGTTTAAATAAAAATTTAATCAATAGTCTGCTCCACTTTTAATTTATACCCATCCTGGAGGAGGAAAAAATATATATACTCTATTTAGAAAAAGAAGTAGGATAACCTATCTTACTATCCTTATCTGCATAGCCCAATCTTTGCAAATGCTCTATTGGATGACAATGCATGTTTATGTGGGGAAGAAAACCCTATACTGTTTCAGCATTTTGTGAGAAACAAAACTCAGCAAAACAAAATAATTTATTATATAGTACTTCCCATGGGAAATAACACTAAACCCCAGCAAAAGGCCTAGCAGTGTGACTGCTTTGAGACAGCAATGTGGCCGTGGGACAGAACTGTCAGCCCACATTTTATGAACCGACTGCACGTGTGGATAGCAGCTACTGTTTATTTCAATTTGGGTTTATAGGCTGGTCTTTCACTCCACTCCACAGCTGTCAATGGCAGGGAGTGTGCTTGTCTTCTGATCCCCAGGGATCACAAAGTGATATACTCTAACATTTGAGAGGAGCTTCATAAATGTTTATCAAAAGACTGAAAAACAGTAACTAAACATAGTGAAAAGCACATTTACTAGAATTCCATGATCCAAACTTATTTAAAATCCACTTTAGAAATAAGAACATGGTTTACATGAGGAAGTACACTTTGAAGATCTTTACAACAGGGCAATCACAGAGTCTTGTTAACTCGCAGCACTCCTGGCATACACACTGCACAAACTAAGCCTTTCCAGAGGTCCAGGGCCTTCAAATGCTCCCCCAGCCAGAGGAGGTCAACACAGGACTTCAGGCTTCTTCCTCCTCATCATGCACCACAGAATGTTTTCCCATAAAAAACCATGTTATCACAAGCGTACTGACAACACTTTCCGAACAACATTTCAATTATAATGAAGCAAACAATTTGCTGTGGACAGTCTTGCGACTGTAATCACTTAGTATATTGCTTCTAGGAGAAAATACTTATTGAATTTTAGTCACAATTTTCTGGTATCACTGATTCTTCTATTAAGTTCCCATCATTGTAAATTGCAGATGCAAACATTTAAAAATAGGAAAATTTTATCGAAAATTTTGACTTTTGCTTTGAAAATTCAAAATGAATAGTCATGTAAAACAAGACAAAATATTTCAGATTTACGTACTGATAAGAAAATACTGACGATTATCAGAAGGGCTTTCAAACTGATAGTAACATCATTTAATCATGGCTAAATATTAAGACCGGAGCACAGCTGTATTATTAGTACACAGTAAATCCTCGGAAAAAGAAGAGATAATCTTGGGAGTTTAGTGTGTAGATTCAGGGATTATGCAAGAAGGAAATTCCAACATTCTGGTTAAGTTTTGGTGATTAGGGATCACTGTAAAATTGGAACTTCTAGCAGATCTATGCAAATATCAAAGGCACAATTAATCTAGGGTTTTCATTTTACTGTTTCTTTCACATCTGAGATTTTAAAGGCTCAAGGGGTGTTTTTAATATGAGAAATTAACCCACTTTATAATGGAAACAATGAAAAACATACTGTTTTCTAGAAATCTATCCTCATGGAATACAGTATTTTAAAGTAAAAGATGTGTATTAAAAATCAGCATGTTTGCTTCTGATAAAGTAAACTCCTAGGAGAAAGTCTTGACAAATCTATCAGTAACTCTCTTTAAAATTTCTGATTGCCTTTCTTCAACCACATTATTGCTAAATAACAAAAGAATAATTACGTCCCAGCTGGGTTTCTTCCTCTGGAATATGGTACTCTGAAAGTTAACATTTTTAATATTTTAAACACGTGACCATGCATTAAGCTGAAGGTAGAGAGTGACTAACATTCCAGAGCCAGCTCTTTGAGACTACAAATATGGTTATGTTAGGCACATACTCATGTCTCCTACAATACTCTAGTGACAACCTATCAGCCTTGGGAAAATGGCTGCTGCTACACAACTCCCAAGGATCATATACACTGAGTAGATAACACAAAGAGGCTTGGGGGGGTGGGGGGATTTAAATGGACCAGCCACCATCAGGGTGAGTGCTTATAAGTGGCTGAACTAATGGAAAAGGAAAAGACAGATGGAACCAAACTATTCCATCTAACAAGGATTGGACCTGTGTGGGTTTCTATATACAGAGACAAGCAGGATGAGGCACTTAAAAAGCTTTTTGATGAAAATCTAGGGGAAGAGCCTGACCTATATTTTTTAGCATTACTACTATCAATAATAACATACTTTTCATGAGGAAACATGCAGTCAGAAACATTACAGAGGCAAAGAGCCTAAGACTGTTCTGAAAGTGAAATGATACAAGATTGTCCAGAGTATATCTGGATTATAAAATCTGATGTTTTTACATTGTCATACTTCTTTAACATTAATGGTATTTCATTGAAAAAATATTTAAAAATTATTGGCAATGATATAAAGCCCTAGCTGGTACAGACATTACTGTACTGGTACCCATCTGATAAGGAAAATATCATCATCCAGACATCTTCTATATTTTTTATTTCCAAATATCTTAAATCAATATTCTTACATTGCTATTCAAAGGTACTTTAGTTGTCTTGTCCCTATTACTCTATATCAACAGTCCTTTTACAAATTATAATATCCTACATATATAAAATTAAAATCTAATGCTGTAGAAAGTCTCAAAAATGTAATGTTAGTATGCTGATTTTCTAAATAACTTGGCTTCATGGAATAACTTTGAATATTTATTGCCCAGATGAATTTAAAAAAATTTAAATGTAATGTGGTACTACCTAATATATGTATAAACAGAATAGCACTAAAAACTTTTTATTGGCATTAAATGCTGTATTTATGGTTGTGCAAAATTTTTAAGTCTTAAAGCCTCTTAACATAATCATGTATATTTATGTACAAAACACATAAATTTTACTTTATTTAAAACATATGAAAGAGGTAATTCCAAAATCACACTAAACATAATAAATATAGAACTTGCTTTGTTAAAAATCTACAGTATACATTCAAGTAAAGGCTAAACTTCCAATGCCAACTATATTTGGGACAAAAATTAAACATTTACAATAATCAGTTTCCTAAAAGTGCTATTTTTAATGCCTATAAAGAGGAAACTCATTCTAGTGCCTTTGTTTCCATCCAAACCTCTATACATTCCTTTTTTCACAGAGCCAGATGCTTCTGTTACTAAAAATACATATCCAAAGCTTTTCTATCCTCTTACACAGATTTAGCAATTCAACTGTTTGGGGGAAGACAGGGAAGTCCAAACAAACAACTCGGACCATTCTTAATTATCAGAGATGACTCACTTTATGACACACCCTGTTTCAACTTCGATGAGACAAATTCGATGAATATGTTAGTGAAACAAAGTTCCCATCCACACATCTAAGGTAAGTCATCTTTTTCTACATGAGAATTTGTGTAGGTCAAAGAGCATCCGCTGTAGCAACCTTCCTGTGATCTAGGCCTGGATGCCACGCTCCACGTCTGATTGCTACATTCTCTTCCGACCTGATTTGGTTTCATCTCTTCAGGAGTTATATTCAGCACATTGACTGAACTGTTGGGAAAAGAAAGGTAGAGCTTAATAATTATCCCCACCTTCTTTTGTACTTTATGCCTGAATGTCTAATGTCTACAAGTCTGGCTGTCCCCACTCCTCGGGTGAAGTAAATTCTGAAGATACACTAATCAAGAACATTAAGAAAACTTTCAAAATGGCTTAGGTTATCACTTCTATCTACCCATCTATTTTCCTACTTATCTATTTATTGTATTTATCCCTCTAGTCTACTCTGAAACATGCTGCCCAAGGGAAGACTAAGGCAGACAACGTGTGGGTTTTCACAGCTAATTCCCTTGTCTCCTTTCTATCACTATTTTCTAATGTCTTTACGGTTCCCTTCTTTACTTGTCCATTTGCTGGTGTGTGCTCTCATCTCTCCACTCACATGTTTAAAGAATGCCCACAAAAGTGCTTAAAAGAACAGAAACTGAAGCCAGATAAAAGATTATTTAAAAATCTATGGAGCAGAGCCATAGAATACATTATCTGAAGCATCTTATGTAATTTTTTCCACAAAAACTTTTCTAAATATACATTTCTTGTGACTTTTGTTTACCAACTTGACCTTAGAACATGGCAAACCTAGAAAACATTAAGTCATTTTTAATTCTAAAATTGAAACCAATAACTTGACAATTTTATTTACACCTATTTACCAATACAGTACTTCAAAAAAGAAAGAAAAGAAATTTGTTTGTAATTGTCCTCAGTCAGAATCCCTACACCTCTGAGGTGTCTCAGATGAGATCAACCTAGTTCTGTGACTACTATACAAGTTACCCTGACTGGAATCCAAGACACAGCCTTTATATAAAATTCTGCTCTACAGTGAGGCAGCAATGAGGATGTTGTAGAATTTAGCTACAAATACTCCTAATTATCTTGCTATAATTTTATTATGAGCTGAATCCAAGGTTCTTTGGGCACAAGGGATCCAAATTTCTAAAATAATTTAAAATTAAACAACCAAGCCGCACTGCTTTTACTCGTTTCTGTTTGTTATATTCTCAGAGAACAGAATAGCTTAACAGCATTCCTGTAAGCTCCCCAAATCTGTTTCTATGACACTGGTATTGTTAGAGTAGCCTTTAGAATACAAGCAACAAAAAACATTGTAATAATATATTTGTGTTTATTTTTGCTGCCACTGAAGTTTACAATAGGCCAAATACCATTTAAGTTCTTTACATATTATTCACTTAGCTCTCAATACTCTGAGATGTGGGTACTAAATGTTGGACTTTTTATTAAATATAATGCTATCAAGGAATGTTTATGTCAAGTATTTCAAAATTAAAAATAATCACATAAAAATTTTTTTAAATGTTTCCCTAACTAGATCTCCTGGCCGATATAACCCGACTCCTACAATCTATTTTCCACATAAGAAAACAGTGCACTTACTAAAATTTAGTCTTTGTCACTCCTCTGTTTAAAAGTGTCCAATATTGTCCACTGCCCCTAAAACAATACTGGATGTACAAACACAGAGAGTGGTGCACATGGTGTAATCCTCAGCACTCCAGGAAGCTGAGACAAGGAGGGTCACAAGTTTTGAGTGCAGCCTAGGGAACCTGGTGACATAGCAAGACCCTCTTTCCATACCCTGAGAATGTAGGTCAGTGCAAAGGCCCTGGGTTCAATCCCCAGTATCGCAAACAACACAAAATAAAATAATCAAGACAAAATTATTTTATGAGGTGATATTCCAAATGTGAATGTGGGAGAGCAGCAGAGTGGAGTTACATATGAAGAATACTGATCGCAAGTTAATAATTGCTGGCCCCAGTGACGGGCACATAGTGACTCATAGTCTTATTTTCTCTACGTTTGTACAACTGGCACTTTTACACCTCTCCACCCTTATCTCACGTCTCTAAGTCTTGCTCACTGAACTGCACTGGCCAGTGCCCATGTTCCACATATGTCCCAGCTCAGGGACCTATGACTGACTGGAGTCCTGTTACCCAGCTCTCTGTTGCTCCCTAATGTTTAGAGTCCTAATCCCCCAACCCTTTCAAAGTCTATAAATTACAAGCCTTGTTCTCCTTTTAAAAGCTTCATTTTTTTCTTAAAATCCAGCTATTAAGCTACTCTTGGCCCACAGGCCAGTGGGTCTCTTTAACATGTAGTTCCACACCAGTTTCTCACTAGCACAGGCCAAATATGCCACAGCTCTGATTCTTGCTTTCTACACACCTGCCAAACTGCCAGGCCTCAGGCTACTGTGTCCTACTTTAAGATCACCACCGCACTTCCAGACTCAACCCTTTCACTTTTCCTATTCCTCTCTACCACACAAGGCATGCTCTGTTTGCTCTTCTTAGTTCAGTTAATCTTGGAACAGGATCTGAGGTACAATGTGGATAGTGTATCCCAGAAAGTGATTTAACAACTTGAGAGAGGAGAATACCAAAATGCAGCAATGATACCAATCTAAGGGTTTCTAGGGTGTAAGGAGCAACTTCTTTCACACTGTCACCCTTGGGCACAGATCTTTTGCATCGCGCGAGATGAACAGGCCTTTCCCAGGTCTTTGCCCTTGAATGCTAGTGAAACAGGCAAGCCAGAAAAAACCTCAATGTGTGTACCTTACAAAAACTGTGCAAAGAACATCTTTATATTTAACACAAAGTACTTAAAACAGTAAGTGATGCCAGCAAGTAAGACTACATTTTAAATATGAAACAAAAACACATATGATTTAGCTCAGAGCAGGGACCACGCCTACCTCATCATTGCTGTTTACCCAGACAGCACAAGATCTATCCTGGACACCCAAAAAGTATTACAGAATGCATAAATCAATGTACTAAATTCTTCTCCAAAGCCTCAACTGTTTTGCCATATGTCAACTTTTCCTTAGCAGTGCCAAAGTTAGCAATTTGTAGAATATGTATAAAGACTGAGCATGAACAAATACCTATGTTCAGATACATAGGAACGTGTCTGGCAAAAGTCTGAAGTAGGAGAAGCAGGCAGAGACTTAGTCATTTTAGATGTGCAAATTGCAGACCCATGAGACACACTGTGAAGCTTCTTTTGCCGTGGCCTTGAGTGCACTGTAAGATTGTCCTGATCAGAACCTGTCAAAGAGAAAAAAAAAAAGACAAGGAGAAAAAAGCAGTATATATGGCGAAGTATTAAAAACAGTGAAAATAAATAACCAGGATGATTTGTTTGAATTCTGAATGAAGTATAATAGAACAAATTAACTTGTTATCTCTGTTGCATATTCTGCAAGCCTTCAGGAGGATTTACTTTTTCAAATAATATCACCAAATTGTGAATGTGCAAAAACTTGATATTTTCACAACAAACGTTACTTTTGGTATGCTTGGTATTCCTGTCACCCTCATTTTGACTCCAGTAAATAAAATAATAAAGCTTATCGATCTTTAGTTCCAAAAAGAGAACTCATCTTGGAGATCTCTAAAGTTTTACATTAATAATTTATATTTCATTTAAAGGCATGTTCAGATTAAAGAGTATATGAAGTACTCACTTCCTGGGAAGGCACTGAAAAGTTTCACATTTTCTGAGTTCTGGTGGTCAAAGGTAGTCATATTTAAAAACTGTTGCTTTAACCAACTGGCTCGTTCTTCTTCAAATGCCTTTCTCTACCATCACAAACAAATGAAAGACATAATGATCAATGCTTCAACCACAGTCACCATTTCCCATGACTTCTCTACCTAGCTGTGTCTGTTCTCTGGCTGTCTATATGCAGAGCTTTATGCCAAATAAATTAACCTACAAAATTTTTTTAATTCAAATGAACAGTGCAAAATGGAACAGAATATTAACATTTGAACACACACAACACAGAAAAATACTCTACACTGCAAAATCATCAGCCAAAAAACCAAACAAACAAACAAGGACTGTAGACTTCAAACATTTCACTCTAGCCATCACCAGGACTGGTGGCTGCCACCACCATTACACCACAAGGGGCACAGGCAGATTCCATCTCATCACCCCTTCTGAACAGCTGGTAATTCCTAAACACAACTCCCTCTCACCCGCTAGGTCTCTCACCCTTCTGTCCTATCCTCACTGCGGTTACCATCCCCAAGGGCCCCCGGCAGAAAGATCCTCAAACAGAAAGGCACTGGGCAGTTGGGAATGACACGCAAATTGGCTAGGGGACAGGGGCTCCGAAACCCAGGGCTGATCTCTCTCTCTGGATGGACTATTCTGGCATAAGCTGTTTTGTTCCCTGAGGAAAACAGCAATTGAGACAGACTATCACAACTGTGAGGAAAACCATGTCAGGTACTAACACAACCAACACAGAGACCTTCATTCATAAATATTAATACAGAATCATGGATCAGACATTTGAAAAAACTGATAGCATGAGAGACAAGAAAAAAGAAAAAGAAGGCCAAGATTAAAAAAAAAAACTAGTGAGGGGTAACCATTCAAAAGATGAGAAATTATCTTTTAAAAAGTTTTAACTCATCAGATTAACAGATGTCTGTAAAATAACAATGCTATACAAGGAAAGCAAAAATTAAGCTTATTAGAACTTTAAAAAAATAAGTTTTGAAATAAAATCTCAATGGCTGGAGTAATAAAACTGACCCCCAGAGTTTGGTGATATACAAGATAAAAGAGAATACTGAGAATTTAGAACACAAAGTAAATGTATAGCAATATTCCAAAGGCCAAACATTTTAAAATACAAGTTCCAGAACATGAAGAAATCAAAGAAGAGAACAATAAAAATACACAAGGCTCTCTACAAAGTAACACAGATTATGTTATAATCTGGCTTCTCAGCAAAAACCAAACACCAAGATTCAGAATGTCTACCATTTATGTGCTATTTTTGAAAAAGTTACTTAAGAAGAAATATAATACAGAAAATACAAAAGAAACCCTCCAAAGAGGAAAACATGAGAGAGAAGACATAAAGTAACTACACTGGTATCTTGGCTCATGAACTCAATTCTCTCCATGATTCTGGTTGCAGAAGAACTACCAACACAAACGTTTAACAGTGGTTCTCTCTAAGAAATAAAACTAGGGATAAAGAAGGAAGGTAATTTCTCATTTTGTAGCTTTTTCTACAGGTTGAGTAAAGGAAAAACAAAAAACATGTTCAGACATTACTTCTATAATTTCTGAAATGGAAACATGTAGGCCATATATTGCTTTAAAAACCAAGCTGTAGAAGTATATGTGTGTATGTACATATACATATATACACACATATATAAATCTGTGTGTGCATATATATATATGAATAAACTCAAACTATTAGTTGTTAATGTATACATCTCTGAATGTGGGATTGTAAAGGGAGAGTGTTATTTTTTTGTACTGTACTTTCATTTAAAGAAAAAAAAAAGCATGATCTTGTGCTATCTTCTACACCATAACTAGTGACAGCGGATAAATGACAGATGCTCAAAAGAGATCTCTTATGTGAAATTGAACAAGTAATAGCAGAAAGCCAATCAGACATAGACAAGTGAATATTTTTTAAAAATTGCAGTTCCCAAATCTGGTAAGGGGAAAAGATACCATTGTGTAACAGTTAATATGATTGGCCTTCCTTCAACTTAAGGTTATTTATGAGATAATCAGTACAATATTTATGAGAAAAGGGGCCGGGGATTTAGCTCAGTGGTTCTGGTGTCCGCCTTGCAAGCGCAAGGTCCCGAGTTTGATCCCCGGTACCAAAAAAAAAAAGAAGCAGAACTAGAAGAATTCTACTGAGGCTCACCACCTCCAAGGCCCAGAATTTTCAAAAGCACAACTGTTTACACTACCTCCAATCCTAGGCGAATAGCCGCTTCTGTAAAGCTTCGTCTTTCTCTCTCAAAATTCTTTTTTTGCTCTTTAAAAAGGGACCATTCTTCTTTAAGGCGTTCCTTTTCTTCCAACAAATAGCAGTCTCGTAATAGTGAAGTGGTATCATCATCACATGCAGTAGCGAACTGCTGCTATTAATTTTAAAACATAGTAAGTTTCGGGGGATCCCTGCAACACTACTCCAAGTGGAAATGAAAGCAAGAGAAGCCAGGTCAAACTAGATGGCAAGGACAGAAATCAGGAAGAATCACAAAGTCAAATGAGAAACCTCTTTTCTCAAATGCTACTACTCCCTTCGCAAAGCATGAACTATTTAAGGAGTGGTATGCAATGTATTTGCTAGCAGATAACTTAGTTTAGCTAAATGTCAAGTACATAGACCTTCTGATATCAGAATAAAAATCTAGTAAGATTTAGTAAAATTCTGGCCTTTCAGAGGGTGGAACAGCTTTAAAAGGTAATTCACATTTACCTGTAAAAGTTGCTGCTGCGTTTTAATCATTTCTTTACATTGTTGAATTTCTAACTCCAGTTTCTCAGTTTCTTGTTCATGATCTTGTCGTGATATTACATCTTCATCGTTAAAACCTTCCAAGTGTACCTTTGAAACTAACCCAAACTCAGTAAGTTGACACATTTTACAGTCACCATTACTTTTTGAACATACTTAAAAATCAAGGCTCTAGAATTTTTGTAGAATTTCACAGGTTTTATAAAAGGTAGTTCTTTCCTTTCCATAAGCTATGATACAATTTTATTACTTTTTAACATGGAAAATTTTTTTAAAAACAAAGCAACTATAAAGTTCACAATAACTATAAATCTGTCTGCTTTGGGGAATAAACAGTATCATTAAAAGTAGAGCTCTATTGCCAACATTTAATTTATAATTCATATGTATTCAAGACTATGTCTGGATTAAAAACAGACAATTTGGCTACTTTCACAGAAGAATGCTAACAAAAATTCATAAATTATGTTTTTGTTGCTATTACTTCAAAGATCAATGCAGTACTACAAATCTTGCTCTCTCATATTACATTTAACAAATACCACATCCAGACATACTTGCTATTTACTAACATGATGATTAAAATGAGTAAAATCGCATGTAAATTAACATTGGGACTCTAATAATAATAATTTCTGCTGACTCTTTAGTAGTTGAAACAATAGCAAGCAGTTCATTAACAATGTAAAATAAATTTTCTTTAAATGAACTTAATTTACTGAGCAGAAATTTTAATTTCCTGATTAAAAGGCATGCGAACTTTAACAAATACAAAATATTAAGGATATACTCATCAACACAGATCTAGCTAGAAGGGCAGGGGATGATGTCTAATACAATGTTAAGTGAAAAAAGCACACTGAATAAAATAGATGTATTAGATAATTTTAGTTTTTCTATGTGTAAATAAACATTTCACAAATTCATACGGAAAAGGCTAAAAAGATACACACCAAATTGTTAAGTGCTGCAGGGAATGGATATCTGAATATTCCACTTTATATACTTTGTTCTTATTCAAGTTCAAATCTCATGGTAAAAACTAAAGACAAACTTGCTTTCAATCCACCAAACTGAACTACCAATTTCAGGTCTAAGCCCACACCGTGGCTTTCCAAGTGACTGCAAATCCAACAGGTTACCATTACAACACACTTCAAGGACAGGAAGGCAGTAGTTACCTTGGTTGTCAAGTTTTTCTACATGACTTTTCAAAATTCTCCACTGTTTTCTGATGCTGTTTGTAAGTTGCTCTCTCACAGTTTCACAGGAGAGGTCCCACATGCTCTCTCTACTCAGTTCCCCGGCATCTTCTTCAACATCAGAGATAACCTACAAATGAAGAGAGAAGAAAAGTAAAAACCAGTATCTTAAAAGGGCTTTATGCCCAGATGGTAGTCATTACATTGATTATCACAGTCTTACCAAAATCATTTCTGTACTGTCTCTTACTATACAACCCAGTATTTTACATATCTTGAGAAAAATTAACTAATATTGAAGACAGAAACTCACCAATTTGAATCTCTTCAAACCTGAATTTGAATCCAAGCAGTTAGGGACAAAGTCAGGGAGCTGTTTGTGAGATATTCATTATCTAATGCTAGATCAGTTTTGGTTTACTAGATGTCCCTCAAGAGCCTCATGTGCTCATAGGTGGGGCTTTTGGAAGAGAACTGGACCGTGGGGTGCTATGGCTGACTTTGTATAAGGAGGTGGGGCCTGGCTGGGGGAGGCAGATCACCAGGGTCGTGATGCAGAAGGGCATGTCTACCTCCCCAGCCCCTCCCTTCTCTCTCTGCTTCATTGGCACCATGATGTGAGCAGCTTCCTCTCCACCATGCCTCCCTTGGAGCTGGCCAACTATGGACTAAAAATGTGAGCTAAAATAAACTTTTCCTTTCCATGGTGGGTGCTGGGAACTGCATCCCAGCAATGAGAAAGTGATTAAGACATAGACTTAGAAACAGTAGTTATGTGTTATACAGACAAGAGGTTGAACTGAGATTTGGAGTTAAAGTTGTTTCTAATCCTTGGCTCTTTAACAAATAAACTTTTGGAATAATCTCAAAAGTAAAAGCAACTAATCCTATTTTCCTCATATAATTTTTAGATAACTAGGGATATTTTTCTTTCTATTGTACAAAGACATGAAAACACAGAAAACTGTAGCAACTTTTATTGACACATTATTATACAGAATCAAAGTAGGATAAAGAATATGGGGAAACAATTCTATGTCACAACAACCTGCATCTAAATAAAACAATCCTAACTTATTCTGAATATTAGATAACCTTTACTAATTTGAAAAAAAAAAGTCATTGCTGGGGAAAAACAGGAGACAGAAGATAAAAAGAGAGCAGGTCTGAGTAGGCTGCTCCTACACACAGATGCAGAAGGAATGAGAGAGAAACCGAGTCTGAAGACCTGAGTCAACAGTCTGAGGTGCAATGCACTAACAAGGATAAGGTCCTCAAGGCAAAGCAGGCAAGGAGGTGTTCAGCACGTGGCTCACTGTGACTCAGCTTCAGGAGATAGTTACCTGTAACTCTCCCAGGAAACCACATAGTCTCTTCCATACATCTTAAAGTCTGTCAGAATACAGGCTGAGTATCCCTTATCTGAAAAACTCGGGGCCTGAAGTGTTTCCAGTTGTTTTAGATTTTGCAACATTTGCATATATATATATATAAAATGAGATATCTTAGGGATGGGACACAAGTTGAAACACAGAATTCATTTGTTTCATATGTACGTTATACTTACAGCCTGAAGGTAATTTTTGTTTTGTTTTTTGAGACAGGGTCTTGCTATGTAGTTCAGGCTAGCTGTCAACTCACTATGTAGCCCACGCTGGCCTTGAACTTGTGGCGATCCTTCTGCTTCAGCCTCCTGAGTGTTGGGATTACAGGCATGGGCCACCACCTGAAGCTGAAAGCCTGAAGGTAATTTTATATATTCTGAGTTTGTGTTTTGACTGTAATTTGTCATATGAGATCAGAGGTGGAATTTTCTCCGTGTAGCATCATGTTGGTACTCAGAAAGTTCCAAATTTTTATAGCACTTTAGATTTTAAATATTCAGTTTAGGGATGTTCAACTTGTACAACAAATCTGTTTATTAAAAAAAGCTAACAATATTTATTGCATGTTTTCCAGACTGAATAAAACTCTATCGCCATAAGATGAAAATAAAAAATTCATGTAACCTGAATTTGAGCCAAAGAATGATTAAAACATGGATGCTACCTAGGCAATCCAAGCTTACACCTTATTCTCTCTGCTATAATGCTCCAAAATCTTGCCTTCAAAGGAATAGTTGAATTAGTTAAATTTTAAGAGAAAAATTAGCTAGAAAAATGGATATTTAAAAACAGAAACACACTTAAGAGATGGTTTCTCCAAACTTAAGTATCGGAATTATGAAGAATTATACAGGCTACTACTCACAGGCTGAATAACGGCTGACCATGTAAAAGAGATCTTGATTTATTACCCATTTTTGCTGACTGAAGCTGGCAATGAAAGTTTAGGAAAGGGTGGGCGAAAAACTAAAGAAGTCTCCCAAGTAATGTAAATCATGCTAATCCTAAAGAGGTATTAGTGAAAGTTAACAACTTCCTGGAAGTAACAGATTGAGAGAAAATGTTAATAGAAAAGGTCAAACAAGCCTCAAACTGGAGAGAGTAAAAGTCTTGGTTTCAGTTGTCTTGGTCAACCCAAGATCCAAAAATATAGTACAAAACATTAAGATATTTTGAGGAGAGAAACAACATATAACTTTTATTATATTATATTGCTGTTAACTGCTGTATTTTGTTATTATTTCTATTAATCTCTTACTGTGACTAATACATAAACTAAATAAAGTTAAGTAAGATTCTAAATAGCTAGTATACACAGGATTCAGTACTACTTGTGTGTTTAGGCAGCCATAGGGAGATCTTGGAATGTACATAACCCCAGTGGATAAAGGAGATGACTGTTTCCAAACAGTATTTTAAAACCTTTTTTTGTGGCACTGGAGACTGAACACAGGGCCTTTGCACTGAGGTACATCCTCAGCCCTTTTTATTTTTTATCTTGAGACAGGGTCTTGCTAAGTCAATGAATTGCCTGGCTAGGCTTGAACTGGTAATCCTCCTGCCTTAGCCTCCTAGAGTGCTAAGACTACAGGTGGACATCATCAAACCCAACTAAAAACAATTTTTAAAGAAGTGAAAAGAAAAAAGGAGGTGGGATGGGCTTACTAGCTAGTCTAATCTATAATCCTATAAAATGAATAATCCTCAAATACAGGTTTAAAAAGCAAATTCTGGTGACTCACTGGTGATAAGCATTTTCTGTTATAATTATTACTTTCATATCTTAATCACTAATATGAACTTGCTGGAACTCAAATTTAAACTTATCTGAAAATCTATTAACTAAAAAGAACTTTTCACCATGATGCAATTTTCAGACTTCTCAATGTTAGTCCCCCTGCATCCAGTACTCGCCTCACATCTTCTACCTCAGAAACACCCACTGATTTTGGCAAGAGCCAGCTCAAATGTCACCTTCTATGACGTCTTCTTTGATCTTGATCACCATGGTAACTTCTCTTTTTCCCCTTGTACCACCCTAACATAGCATTAACACGTGCAGTCATTTCTCCATGTCAGTCCCTCCCAAAAAGCTTCTTGAGAGAAAAAGTCAAAAACATTTTTAGCTGTTTCTTTCCAGGAGAAAGAATAGAAGGAACACTCAACAAATGAGTGGACTGAATGATTATGTGGTTCTTTCAGTTAACAAAAATTTCACTCTCTAAAAAGTAGAATACATGATACTTAAACAAGTGAAAGGTGATTTGATACCATGGTTCCAAGTGTGAGCTCTACAAGCTGATTCTGTGCAAGACAGAATTAGACCAGTTCTGCTATGTGTCACACTGGGCTAGTTAACTACTGCGCCTGTTTCTTCATCTACAAAATGGGGATAATTACACTATCTACAAATCAGATTATTACAATATTTGAAGTAATTTGTCATATAAGAAATAATATGAAGACAATGCGTATAAAGTGTTTATCACAGTGCTTGCTTGGCATGGATTAAGTCCTCAGCAGATTATCTCCATTGTTTCCCACGGTGTGTCCGGAAACACACAGGGACATTTTTGTTGTTCCAGTAACTGGAAATACCATAGCAGTGACTGTCCTCTTTAAAACACCAATACTGTGGTGTTCTCTGCACACAACTTTCTATGCCTCGATTGTTCAATCAATGATCTGAAGACTGTATTAGAGAAAGAAGGCTACTTACAGTTCCTGTACTTTCATCTTCTCTTTCTCTAGGTTTCTTCTTTTGGGGAGAAAGAAGAGAAATCATTTCCTTTTTCATTTGCTGAAGAACCTTCTTAAGTTCAGCATTTTCCATTAGGATTTGTTTCTGACGGTATTCATAATCATTTAAGAGAATTTTATACATTTCATCCTCGTTCCTGAGAAAGAAACTGTCATCATGGGAATGCAGTGGACAAAGCAAGTCTGACCTGATTCAGTGCTGTAGACTCTACCTGGCTTCTGTTTTACCAGTCCTCCAGGAGCCCCGTTTTCCATCTGCTCTGCCCACGTAGTTTAAAACATCCATGGCTGCAAATGTGAACACACAAAACAAACTCTTATCATATGTGTTTAAAGGTCTAAAGCACTCTACACCTACTAGGGCTATGAATCAATCTGGCAGACAGGCTGAGATGTGGGACAAACAGGCCTAATTTCAAGTTATAATTCAACTGCTTGTAAGCACCAAGAGATCTTGGCGAACTTATTTAACTAAGCTTATTTTTCACTGATATCATGGGAAGAACATGGTATCCACCCAAAAAGTTAAGATTAAAAGAAATAAGGTTAAGGCACTTAACATAGGAGAGTAAACACAGTAAGTGGTGCACACAGTAAGTATTTAATAAATGTTACTTTATCATTTTAATTTCATTATCAAGAGTTGGCAAACTACGGCCCGCAGGCCAGCTAACTAATTTTGTAAAAAAGCTTTACTGGAACACGGCCACATCCCTTTCTGTATGTATTGTCTAAGGACACTTCCTCTACAGTGGCAGAGATGGTAAGTATAAAAAACACTTGTAGACCCCACAAAGCCAAGCAGGTTTACTATTTGGACCTTTACAGAAAAGGTTTGCCATGCTCTATCAACAACATCATCATCGTCATCATCTTCAAAGAAGTCAAGCGCCTGCCAATAGTAAAGTCTCTCTGCCCAAGGCAGAGATGGACCCATTTGGAATAAGAAGGAAACAGGATGAGAGTAAGTTATTACAATTGTAGTGCTAATAAAATCATAAAAATGTCACTTCTGGTTGGGTGTGGAATAGGAAACACTTATATGCCTAAATACAAGCAGTCTGTTTCTAGAATTCAGTCTTTAGTAAATGTCTCTAATTAGATGTTACATTTTTATGCTTTCTGCATTTCATTCTCCTCCCTTAATTTTGTTCTTTCCTTCATGGACAAACATGAGGATAACTGACCTTAAAAACTAATGATTATCCACATGAGTAAGACTTATTAACTCAGAATACCTAAACATTTTCAAACTTATCTTAACTATTATTACACCTTCACTTTCTATTTTTCAGTAATTTTTAAAATAAAATATCAGACAACTGCAACAGCTCTGCTGGACAAAATGTCAGTAATGCGGGCAGCAATGAACCACAATGGCCCACCATGGAAAAGCCTGAAGCATATGCTCATCAGCTGCTGCTGAAGTCCAGGTTCAGGTTAGTAAAGACAGGAATGTAACTGCAAAATGTAGGTCAGAAGACTGCCTATAATCCACTCGAAAAGCACTCTCCAATAAACACAATCCACAGACTTCTCATTCCCTGGTCTATGCCAAGGCAGTAAAACTGCCCTGCATACCTTTACTTGTGTGTGTAGCTTAACTGTTTAAATCTACACTACTTGAAATTATGCACATACTTACATGAATAGTTGTAGATTAAAGTTTTCAAAAGAACAATACTACAAAAGAAATATACATCAGACACTAACACACTTTTATAGTACATCCTTATAGTAGTTGCTTCAAAAACACACAATGAAAAGAACTCAAACTCACATGAATGAGTTGATCAGATGAACAGTTTTATGACGTTAACTCTAAAATCCTACTTCTTTTGATATTCAGAAACATATCCTGATTCTTAATTTGCTATGGACAATCAGAGTGTCCTCTGGTTTAGTTTTTCTCTATGGATCAATCCTAGTCACATTAAAATTATGCAACTTATGAGACAAACGTAAATGACTTAGTTTTCACTATCTAAATTTTCAGTTTATATGGACATATACCATCTAAACTCAACTGTATAAAGCATGAAAATAACATTGTCGTGCATGACATATTTATGCTTATTTCTGAGCACATTAGCTTATTCTCTTAGCTGTATCTCTGCCAGTTGCTTACCTATTTTTTTATCCTTTTTGTTCATAACAAGTTGATGTAGACGTTCTTTTAATTTATTATATTCACGCTCTTTTCTTTTCATATCATGATTATACTGAGTAGCTCGACTTGCAATGATATTTTGTAATTTTTGTACCTGAAAAAAAAATTTTCTATCAAATGAGGGTAAGCCCAGTTAAAATTCACAAATTCATCTTCCCATATAATAGTTTAAACACTTGAGGATGATTCTTCCTTCAATGGAAACTACTTTTTAAAGTATCATTATATGAATCACAAAGTTTTTATTTTTTAATTCTAAAATTTCTACTCTTAATTCTAAATTTTATCTTCTATACTTTTACCTTTAGAAACTCTTCTGGAAGTATTAAAATGATTAAAGCTTTATCTGAAATAAACAGGATTCATCGGTCATTTCTAAGGACCTCCTTATACTCTCATCTTGCAATCAGTTTCTTTGGTGTGTTAGGAACTAACTACACAGTGTATTAGCCAGTAGCACACAGCAGCAGATACCCAGAGTCATTTCTCTCTGATCAACATTTGCTGAGGGCCTACTCATGTGTCAGGCACTGTTGTTCAAAATTTATATCTACAATGGCTTTATAGGCAGCTCTTGATAGAAGTACGTTTTATCCTATGTAGCCATTCTCAATCCCTACTAGAGATTATTATTAACTTAATCCTTCCCAAAGGTGAACTATATTCAAACCAACTATACTGAAGTGTAATTAAGAGATCAAGTAAAACTGTAATATGAAATAACTCCAGGAAATACGTATAAGCAACTTTATGGTATGGTTAAGATATTAATTAGCAACTTATTAAATATACTACTAGTCAAGTATGGTAAAATAAGTCTAAATTACTCCCAAGGCTTTCAAAAGAAATACAATTCCCTAAATGTCTTGTAGTTAAAACATATAAAACAGTGAAAGTAATGTACTTTTATAGTTATTACATGGACAGGGATCATATTACACAGCAATAAAATTTCTTCTTAGATACATTACAAAATAATACTTTCAAATGCATTAACTCCTTAGTTCCACATAACTACTAAAGAAAAGTTAGAATTATGCCAAAAGATGTCACAATTCTAAGTTAGCATCTTTGCCCCAGAAATGAGATTTTTAAAATGAATTGCTCCTGTGCTCATTTAGTCAAGTTATTGTTCACCTAGAGGAACAATGTCATTGCTTAGTGAAAGAAGGGGCGGATCAGGCTGGGGATGCTTATCAGCGGTAGACTGTGTGCTTAGCATGGGCAAGGCCTTGGGTTCAATCCCTGCAACCATAAAACAAAAAAAAAACCAGAGTGGCATGCCAGGTACCAAGTACAGGTGGAGCACAGAATCAATACTCTGCACTTAAAGCACCTTTGTGCCCAAGAGAAAGTGCATGAACATGTGTTCAGTAAGGGCGGTTAGTGCAGGAAGGGTGGTCCAGGCCGCTGGGGTTACCGGCTACAGACTGATTTTCAGAGCCAAATGGATCCTGGCGGGCAGGGAGGGGGAGGCAGAGCGCTGTGCTAAGGAAGGTTCCTCATTTCTCAGTTAAATATGACACAGCATCGTACTCAGAGGTCCATTAAACCATTATAGAATTCAGCAGTGAAGCCATCAGGAAGGAACTGGGCTTTTCTTACTTGGTGAGTTTTTAATTATGTTTTCAATTTCATTGATTGATATTGGGTTGTTTAGAATTTTTAGGTCTTCTTCATTCAACTTTGGTAATTCATATGTATCTAGGAATCTGTCCCTTTCTAATCTGATACAGGATGAGTAAGTTTTTTTTAAAGTGATTCTTACCACATATTACAAAAAAATCCCCACACAAATTCATTTAAACTTTATGTGCAATAAAACAACTCACCTCATCCTTCTCATTTTTCAGTAGCTGATGCAAATTCCTGTTCTTGCACTGTAACTGTCTGTCTCTCTCCTGAAGCCCAATAATTTCCCTCCTGGAAGTTTCCAGTTGTTCCTAAAATATCCATATGCCATTCCCATTAAAATGAACATAGAATTTGCAACAATTAATTTTTTTTTCCTCCAGGTACTGGGGAACAATTAAATTCTTAAAAGACCAGTAACAAGATATTATATATACTAGTTTATTAGCTAAAATCAAAGTTTAATGGCACGCACAAAGTTTAAGCAGTTACTACAGAGCTTATTACAAAATTAAATCTACATATCAAATTGTATAATATTTAAATACCAAATTCTATATTTGAGTGTCAAAATGATTCCTTTGAAAGGCTCGCCCCTTATTCCACAATGCTGATACTGAATATATTAGAATGTCTTTTAAAGACCTTCTCTTTGGTATCTCTTTGTCAGCGCACGTTTGCAGTATATGCTTACATTCCTGTGTGGAGCTGGTTTATGTGCGTAACACCTCTTAATTTCTTTCTCAGCACCTTTCCTTCCCCTCCCTCCCCGCCCTCCATCTTTTGACCCCCTTCCCATTTGAGAGCTGTCTTCCTACTTCCTATTGTTTTATTTTGCTCTTTATTTATCATGTGGGGTTCTCATATAAGAGAAACCATGTGATATTAAATCTTGTGTGTCTGACTTATTTCACTTAACATTACGGTCTCAAGACTTCTACAACACCCTTTTGAAGATCTCCTCAGCTATTGCAACACTGCAACATCATCCCTCCCTTGAGAGTGAGTCTGACTTTGAGAAAGAGTCAAACGTGACTGGGAGCCAAGCCTGCAGAAGGGTGGGAACACTACCCATGGCACGGATTAGTTCAAGTCCAAAACCTCTGCACCAGTCTGCTCACAGCTGTCCTCATTACCAGGCTTTCTGAGACCCTACACCTCCCAAGCATACTTCCCCACCCCCAGAATTTCTTCACCTTGCTGCCAAAATATTATTTACCTCTTCTACTTCTCCTCAGTACCTCCCAGTTTCTGAGTAGGTAAACTTTCATATTATGTGCAGCAAGTGTCCAGCCTCACTTCTTACCATTCATCATCACACTTTACACACTGCAGCCCCTAGAGAACTATGTGCAACTCCCTGGAAGTGCAATGTTTTCTCATTCTTCCTGCTTTTATACAAGTTAAATGCTCTGCCTGGAATGTCTTTTCCAAGTGCTAGTAAATTTCCATTTATTGTTCAAATCACAGACCAAGAATTATCTTTCTGTGACGCCTTCACCTCCTACACCAAGAATAATTAATGAAGCAAATCATTATGGTTCAATGTGTCTCATTCCACTAGAATGCAATCTCCTCCTGTGCAGGGACTAAGGTTTCATTTACCTTTGAAACCCAGTTCCTGTAACAGAAATATTCAATATTTATTGAGCTGAATGAATCATATGCTAGATCTAGAAACTTTCAAGGCTAGATCAGTGATTTTCCACAGTGAATACACACTTCTATCCAAAGATGAGCCAAAATAAGAGATTCTGGCCCAGGTTAAATCCAAAATTAGAAGATTTCCTAAAAAAAATATTCTATGTTCTGGGCAGTCCTAATAAAAAGACCACTCCTTGGAGAAAAGTCACAGTGGCCCCAGCCTATGACATCGTGACATGATCATTCACTGGCTACTTGTAAGACCTGGTGAAGCGGGGCGCAGGAGTGAAAATACCGCCTTCTAGGTTTACAGCCCTGGATCAGCCTAATCCAGAGTTAGACCCTCCACTGGTGTCTCTGGTTTGGATGAATGCAGGATCCACAATCACAGTCTAGAGGGTCCTGAATTTCCCCTCCAGCCCACCACAGTGTCCCAGTCAGTCACAGGACACGCAACTGGATAATCTCTATCCCTGAGGCATACAGATGTACAAAAAACTAAAACATGAGTAAAGAGAAAATATATTGTTATCACTGTATATGAACTAAGAAAACAACATAAGTAGCATTGGGTAGCGACAGACTGGAAGGGGCAGGTGCCACTGAGCAGCTAAGGTACATTGTGCCCTGATGTTTACAGTGTTCACATATGGTGTGACTCTGCCACTTCTATTTTATGGCACACTCCCTACCGGACTTTCAAATATTAAATACAGAGATTCTATTATTCTCTCATGGAGATCAGCAATTCAAAATCCTGTTTATTTTTTTATTGTTATCTCTTCCTGGGAGGGGTGAGGTAGGGAGGGGAGAGCATATATAGCAAGAAAGAGGAGAGGGGCATGGACTAACAGATGAAAACTAAAAGGAAGCTGATTTCCCGAGAGTACATAAATAACAAAGGCTTTGATTCCCTCAAATAAAGGGACCCAAAATATACTAGTATATTTAGGAAAAAATTTGGCTTGGATTATATTACACCCTTAATAATATACAACCACAATATAAGTTCTTAGCATACAAGAATTTAAAAGGAAAACTTTCAAACACTTTGCTCCTCTCCTTCTGAAGTTTTTGTTTTAAAAAATAAATAAAAGAAAGTTTTTAAAAAAAGGAAGAAAATGAAACCAGCAATAAATGTTCTACATCCAAATACTGTAGGTCAATGATCCTATGAAAGTATTACCCTTTTTTCAGACAAAAGTTAAATAATGCACTTTCCCACAGTCTTCTAGAACCCTAGGGACTTCTAACAGGTCTCATCTAGCCTGTTTTCACTACTGAACTTTGGTTTAAAAATCTTAGAAGAGGCTGCATTATTTAATTGTAAGAAAAATATTCTTAAGCAAGACAGTGGGTGAATCCTTATTGTATTTTCCTCTGAATATAAATATTTCCTAATTAACTGTCAACAGATTCAGCAAATTACTAAGCAATTCATAAAATCCAGGCCTTCAATATACATATTTGAAAGTAATACAATTAGTATGTACAAATTACTTTTATGTTCACTTTTACTTAGCAGTTTTTAAAAAAAGCTTTTATTTGATAAAGTCAATGAATACTTGTAGCCCTGAGTTATACAATAATGGAGTGGAAATACAACTGATATGAAATTTGTACCTTAAGTTTTGCATAGCAGCTCTGAAGATGGTCCATATCACTTCCCAGTTTCAGATTCTGTGTTTCCACATTTTCCTGAGCTAGAAGGTTCTTCCGCTGAAGTACAAGTAGCTCATTCATACAATTTAAAACAGCAACTATATTCAATTCTCTCTTTGCTTCTTTACTTTTGGGTTCTTCATACAATGAAGGAAACCCAAAAGTAGTCAATTCCTAATAGGAGAAAATGTTTTTTTAAAAGTTGGTTGCCCTTGGGAAGATGCTGGTCAAAAGATACAAAATTTCAGTTGACAGGAAGAGTAAGTTCAAAAGAGCTATTGTACAACATGTTGATTATCACAAATAACAATGTAGGCTATTCTTAAAAACAGCTGAGAGTAGATTTTAAGTATGAAGCATGCATATTTCTATTAACTAACTCAATTGTGCCATTCCATAATGTATATGTATTTCAAACCATGGCATACACAATAAATATATATAAGTTTAATTGTCAATTAAAAGTTTTAAATAAATTAATTTTTTTTAAAGTCGGTTATCAGACAACTTGTAAAGTAATAATAGGAATCTTGTCCAGGAGAAATCTGAAAACCTGCCCAAGACTGTTAAGAAAATACTATCCCAAAGAACAAAAAAAACTTTAAAAACCAGTTTTTTTCTGGACTCTGCTCTTGTAGAAGAGCCTGGGAGAGTGGGAAGGCCAACTTCCTCCAAAGAGAACATGTAACCTTGTATTAAATCACCAAGGTTTTCTGCAAACCTAGAAGTCTCAGGCCACTTCATACTACACTTGTGCCTGACACATGTAACCTTGATATGTTATGTTCTATTATGTAACATGACTTTCACCATTGGTTAAAAAAACGTTACCTGATCAAGATATGAAATACTTTGTTCAATATTCTCTTCTGTGCAGAAGGCACTGAAAAAACTGTGTACATTTTTTGATAAAGGTATTGAAGAACATAGCACTTGCTGTAAGTATAAACTTGATGGAGACATCTTTGTTTCTGAGGTATATTGAGAGATATTGTTGCTTTCTGAAAAAGTCAATAAAAAGCACTCATAATTTATAAAAATACATGTGAAACTATAATCTCTATTACCAAAGATTTTACGTATCAAATAAATTTATATATATATATGTATTTTCAAATTAGGACAAAGCCATTTTTAAATGAAAGATATACTTTTTTTCCAAAAGGACACAACTGAAGTGGTCTTCTTAGTAGGCATGCTAGGTGCCAAGATACCTTAGCTTCCACTGCTTTAGTTTTATAAATATAGTAGAGAAAACACACTTGTCTATGTCATTCAACATTCCTCTGATTAAAGGAGTAATTCAGAGAAACATTGAAGTAGCTACTGAATATATCTCAAATGCATAAAAATTTCCTTGAAAATTGTAAAAAATCAAGCAATCTATTCATCCATCCATAGCACTGAATACTACTCATGGCACATTCTTAGCTCTTCTCTAGTAACTTCACTGAGGGTGAAAATTAGGTATTTCATAACTATTTATGTCTTTCTTTAGTCATATCTTCAATATTTGTGCTATTTCATATGGTCACTGAGAAATTCACCTTTACAATTACTCCTGTGGTTTCCAGTTATTTTGGACTCAGTTACCTGCACACAGACCTGGTTCTGTAACAGTCATCCAATCTCCCATAGCAATTTCCAGAGCCAGGGTACCTGAGGAACTAGTTCAGCACTGAGACACAGCCAGTTGCTGTCACTCTTCTATGTAGGCATCTCCTTAAAAGCAAATGACAGAATAACTGCATCTAAATGCAAGCAAATAAAAAAACTAATGTGTAAGAATTTGGTGTATGTGTTTCAAAACAGGAGGATTTTGCAGCATTTATTCCCATGCAGATATGGCATGTAGTAAAGATTCAGAATTATATTACCAATCTAAGGTACAGTACTGCATTAAGTAACATTTCTATATTATATCCTTTAATACACTGGTGTCCAACCTTTTGGTTTGCCTGGGCAGCACTGCATGAAGAGGAATTGTCCTGGGCCACATGTAAAACATACACTATAATTAATGAGTATGGATAACAAAATTTCCTTTATTTTTATACTTTTTACTATAACACTGAAGTGAAATAACAAGAAATCTAAGTTCAGTAATTAAATCATGTCTGCTTACTGACAGTGACTATCTATCTTCCCGTTTAGGGAGGATAAAATACTGCTACTGGTAACCCCCGTGCTGCACTCGTCCAGCTGCACAAGTGCACTTCACATCTGATGCAGGTGGGCTTTGATGTGCAGGAGCACAGGAGGCAGAGGCAGCACTGCCCTGCATCTCCCTGCACAGCGTTCCAGGGTCACCTGTGCAGCAGGCACTGGAGCACTGCACAGTTAAGCCATGAAAAATAGCTTTAAACATCACAAAATGTTGAGTTTATGATCTTGTGGGGCCACATTACCAACTGTCCAGGGCTGTAAGTCAGATATGCCTGCTTTAAAACAAAGTACAATTCTTATTTATGTAGATAGGAAAATGACAAAGTTCTGGGCCAGCAGTCTTTTTTTCTCAAATATATCAGCAAAGTTTTTCATTTAAATGATAATTCCTAGTGTTGGCATAGATGTAGGGAAATGAATACTTGCACACACTGCTGTTCTGATAACATTAATTTATATTACCAAGCACTTTTGTAATATGCATCTTAATACATCTTAAAAATAAAAAATATCAATATCTCCTAAAATTTCATTCTAACAGTATGTATAGAAAGTTATTTACAGGTTGTTCTTTACAATAGAAAAAAAATGGAATGTTCTACAGTATAAAAGTAGGTAAATCCATGATACATTTATAAAGTACAACACTGTATGGACTTTGCACAGAACTATGTAGACTTAGAGTGAACAAGTATTTAAACAAAACTATGAAGAACTACAAATACCTAAAAGGTGAGAAATATAAATGGAGGGAACTAAGTATAAGACATGTAACTGTTTCCATCTACCACTAACAGTTCCACTTTTTAATAGAGATAATGGAAGAGATAAATATTTCTCCATCATAAGAAATCAAATTGCAAGTGGCAACTGTCAACTGATTACAAGGTCAGAGGAGGCGGAGGGAAGAAAAGTGCAGGGAAAATGGTGACCACCTGCCCGCTCTGGACAGCTGTTCTTCAGCCACAGCAAACTGCAGTCAAGAGAGAAAGCAGGGCCTGTGGTGACAGATCTCAGAAGTTTCAGGGACACTGGAATTCTGGGCTTTTATGTGAAGCATCCCTATTTGTAAATATTAGAAGCCAATTGAAAAATGTTTAATTTTATATAAGTTACCCTATGGGAACCAGGAGAAGTAGGAGGAAGATATGAAGCCTAGTGGGTGCCAGAAATGCTCTCCATCTTTACGTGAGATGGTTACAGGTTATATACACTTAAGGTCTGTCCTTAACTCCTGATATTCCTTGTTTAGTGACTTACCAGTTTAATGACTGTTCAGACTGAGGACCCACTGCTCAGACTTACGACCTGTCCTTTTCGTACAGTTCTGTACGTCATGGTGATATAACCTCAGTCTTTTCTGTACTGCACACCTTGTTTATACAGTACTGTAATTTCTGCTGATTGCACTATACAGTACAGTACTGTAGTTTTATGTTGTTGCATTACAGTACTGCACTGAGTTATGCAAATAAAGCAAAATCATCAAGTTGAAGTTTCCTTTGACTATGCCTTTGTTCTGAATATTATAGTGTACATGCTCTATACCAATTCATTTAACAACCTAGTCGCAGGATCAAAACTTGGTCCTTGAACCAGAAGTGTCTGTATAAATTACAGCTCAAAACAATAACACCATGCAATAAGCCAAATAAAATGTCTCTTTAGGCCAGATCCCGCCTGAAGATGAAGTGTTTACAACCCTTATTCTGAATACTTAATACTGTGGGAAAATACTCGCAATATGATGAACGTTTCCACTCATTCAATTACACTGAGCTCCCACTGTGTACAAGACATTTTTCTAGGCACAAGAAAAAGAAGCTTTGCTCTCAAGAAGTTCACAATCTGGTGAGGGTAACTAAGGATAATAAAACAAGCAGTAAATTAACACTCAGAGCAAAGAACCCCATGATACTGTACAATGACAGTGTTGGAAAGAGGGTACCTAGATCAGGGAAGGCTATTATGAATGGTGACGTCTGAACTGACATCCAAATGAGGCCAAGTCCAACACAAGGTAGTCAATGACTAGAGTAGCTTAGGCAGAAAAAACAGCAGGTGTAAAAACTTGAGAAGGAAATGAGCTTGCTAAGCATGAAAACATAAAGAAAGCCAGTGTGTAAGCAAGGCTTACAGTAAGCAAGGCTACAGGGCAGGAAGTTGGATTTCTCTGAATTGTAATGAAATGTTGAAGGGCTCTGGCTTTAGGCAGGAAAGTAGCAATTTCCTTTATGCTTTAGGAAAGTGACTCTGGCTTGGCTGAGTACTGCAGAGAAGGTGGCAAGTAAAGGCTGGTACTGACAAGGAAGCTTCTGCAGTAGGCCAGGTAAGACAACAGGTGTTGCACTACAGTTCCACAGAGGAGGCAGAAACAGGCAGAAAAATCAGGGATGTGTTCTGGAGAAAGAACCTTCAGCATTTGCAGATGGATTAAAATGTGAGTGAAAGAGAAATCAAGAACGATTTGTAGGTCACAGAGCAGCGCACAATGTAAACCAGACAATGTTAAAGCACCATTTTCCACGCATGAAGCTTGTTATCCAGCCTGGCACTGATCTCTTGCTGGTTTTCTACTTGTTCTCTGGTAAAGAAAGACACTAAACTATTTTGCACTTCTGGCTGTACTTCAACAATGCTTTCAGTAACAGGATGAGCAGCATACAGGTCCAGTCTGCACAAAGTAAGGAACATTAATTTTACTCTTGGCCTTACAGATAGAGCTGTAAATAGACGAGAATGCAAGAGACAAGGAATCTACCTACTCTAACAGCTTTGGATAAATCATCTGACCTCCCTGAGTCCTAGTTTATAGCGACACTTTGTAAGTTTCCTCTGATAATTAAGTGAGATAATGCATAAAGAGTTTAGTATACTGCTTGGCATATGGGAAAAACATAATTAATATTAGTTACCATCTTCATCTAGTCATAGGGCTGTTTGGTAAAATGACTAAAAAAATAAATGACTAAATGACTAAAAGAATAACAAAAGGCACCATTACTCTGAATGAAAGTTGGACACAGATACTTGGAAACTTTAGAAATAAACATCTTTATAATAACAATTATGCAGTGGGCTAATTCTTTGTAATCAATAGCTTTGAAGGGAAGAACAAGATCAGAAGAAACAGGGATTTTTTTCAAGGCCTTTTTTTCTTTTGTTAAGGTATTTATAAGACAACACTGCACAACATATCTGTTCTCCTTTTATAGAAAGACTAAAGCCCAAAATATGTCTATTACATATCCATTCTTCAAAAATGTAATTTAAGTCAGTTACTCTTTAGCTTTGTGAATTTAGCTTTTTAGCGCCTTCAGGTTTAGACATTGAATTGTTCCCTGTACTATTAACTAATAAAAGCCTGCACAATATTTGAGTCTAGTTAAATATTCACAATGAAAACTAAAACTCCATTTTGAAGTCCTATGAAACAACTAACAGTGTAGAATTTCAGTATATGATCTCACACAAGCTAATTTTCCACCAGTCCACTTCTGTTCCACTATGCACCCATTTACACACTGTGAGACTTCTGATAAAATACCCACCCAGTCTTTTCAGGAAACTTAACACACTTAATCAATATGCACCCAAAAACCAAGAGGCTAATTCAAGCAAAGTGTTGCATTCTATATCAATCATAGCTAAAAGTTCATTGTTGAAAGTTGGAAACTATCTTTATGAAGATGTAAAATAAGTCAAATTAATTTAAAAGCAAAAGAAAGGTAGCCAAAGCATGCATACTTTGCATAAACCTCATATGTACCATCACAAGTCCACTGTAACTCTAAAGCTTCAAAAGCAACCTAAGAGTCTATCATAAACCAGGCACTGGGACACGAGTTCATTCTGTAGATCTGATCAAGTCAGAGCAAAACATTAAACAGTGGATGTGATTATGTACGAAAAATCACATGAGAACAAATCTGCTTACAGTAGCATTGTTACTGCAGTCTCAATAGAACAAAAATGTTAAGAGAAAAATCATGTTTTGATTCAAGTAATCTGGAGCCTGAAATTCTCTGTATGTATCATTGGTTAAAAGCAGCTGCCCAGATTTCAAGATAGGTCAAATTTACGACTGAGTTTTATGAGCAAAACGTAAAGAATAAAGAATTTAAATACCTTGTAAATGCCACTGCATTCACCTAAGATTGTTGAGAACAATCCTGAAATAATAGAAATGCAAAGGAGAAAAACCTATAAAGTAATCCATAAAAAAGAAACAATTCACCAAGGATTTAGCTCAGTGGTGCTGCCGCCTGCCTCACAAGCGCCAAGTCCTGAGTTCGATCCCTGGTACCAAAAAAAAAATTGTTTCTCCTATTCTCAACATTATAGAGACAGCTCTATTCATTACTTGTGGGTAGCATGTATATACCCATTTAATAAACTTCTTGTTCCAAGTACTTCCCAATGTAGATTCCAATCTGTAATCTTCACAATAGAAAATATTAATTACTGATTGGAGTAAAACAAATGATTTTAGTATAAAGATTATCTGACCGCTTTTGGAGAAACACTTTTGAGGTACTGTACTTTATCTTCTTTATACGTAGCCATAGGTTCCAAAGAACCAAAGTCACATACTTCAGATGTAAAATAAGCAAGGATATTTTGGTCTTTTTCTGGAGAAAAATGTTACCCAGAGCTTAAAAATTATCTAGTAAATAATCTTCTAGTTTAGAATCTGGGTAGAAAACTGAGAAACAGTGATACATTTGAATCTAATATTATACCCTTTCATAAAGAAAATGAAGACACTGTTAAGATTTATAAATCTATCACTGTTTGTGCCAAAGTATTTTATTTCCTATTGTTTTTCTATATCAAAAACAGGAAACTAGGGCTTAGCAAGATCAATAGGACTGATGAACACATTTCTAACTGGCTGTGAATCCAGGACACAATTTCACTCTTCAACATTCTGTGTTCCTTTCATTCTATCAACTAACTCTCAACCCTATAATGTAAACTAATCAATCTATAGCAATTAAAAATAGAATATTATACTAAAATTTCCAATGAGTTTATTTAAAAGATTTATAATGTATTTTAAATGATTTCATTCAGAGCATACAATCTGTACTGGAACCTATTGAGACCCACTTGTAAAATTAGCTTTGCTTTCCTAGCTTCCTTCTCATTTATAAACACTTTTCTATCTTACAGTAAACATTAATGTAACATAAACTAAGCTTATGGATGGCTAGCAAAAATATCTGAGGCTCTTGTTTTTTTCCCCATCAAAAAAGTTCCTTAGGGGCTGGGGATTTAGCTTAGTGTTTCCGCTGCCTGCCTTGCAAGTGGAAGGATCCGAGTTCGATCCCTGGTACCCAAAAAACCAAAAAACAAAAAACAAAACAAAAGTTCCTTAGCTAGTTCTTTCTACACCAGAGGTATAGGCTCTTAATCTACTGCTCATCAATTGCACGTAGAGCTCTGGGGCAGGCAGCCTCTAACATGGCTCCAGTTATTCCTTGCCTTGGGTTACTCTTACCCTTCAGTATCGGCTGGATTTACTGACCAGCTTCTAACAGAATAGAGCAGAAGCAACGGGATTTCACTTTGAAGATTAGGTTACGAAAAGGCTGCAGCTTCCACAGAAGGTTGTTCCATTCAACGTCTCTTGCATCCCTCTCTCTGGGAAAGCAGGCCATGGTGGTGTGAGTAGCCCTACCTCCAATGAGACAGGAACACACGTCTGTGGCAAACAGGAGCTGAAGTCTGCCTGTGAGTTGTGTGAGTGAATGTGGAAGTGCATCTCACCTTGCCCAAACTAAATGCCAGCAGCCCTGGCCAACACCTTGCTGGCAGCCTAGTGAAAGACACCGAGCCAGAGGCACTGAGCTAGGCAGTACCCAGATTCCTGACTCAGAAACGGTGAGATCTTAATGCTTGTTGTGTTAAGCTGCTAATTTTTGGAGTAACTTGTTATGAAGCAATAGATAACTATTACAAGTTTTCTGTTTTTGTCTTTTTTACACACCCACACCCTCACCCTCAGCAGGTTATCCCTGAGCCATTGTCACTGTAAGCGGTTCCTGGACCTCAGAACAGCAAGTGCTCAACGTGGCATCCTCTCAGCACCTCCCAGCCCTGTGCAGAGCAAATGCAGTTCCTGTCTTGACTGCCTGGGGACAAGGTGGCCCTGAGTGGCATCTGCAGAGATGTCACCTGTTCCGTGGGGCAGGAGGGACCGATATCCCTGCTCCCTGAGACTTCACAGGGGACCTTGGGTGAGAGAGTGCGGCAGGCTCCTGAGGCAGCGGCTTCCAGACATTTTGAGATATGTATTTGTGAGTCCCTTCAAAACTTACTGACCCCATAATTTACATCGAAAAATGATACTGCATACACTAATGCAACTGATCGTTTATGACAATGATATATCCAGTGTTGCAATTAACCATTCCATATTATTAGAGCTGGATGCCTCCCGAACTACCTTATGAACTACCCTTCTAGGGTGGGTAGGGCACACTCTCGGATTCATCTTTGCAGCCAAGAGTTCCCGCTCAGTAAATCATACAATTAACTGAGTCCGAAATGACACGCTCACTCCGGCCTCTGTCCTCCTCCTATGCTCTCTTCTCTCATCCCCAATATACTTTTCCCAGGCACAGCTCAACCACTATCAAACTGTCTCTTAGCTCCATCTCCAAAAACTCCAGCCCACAACACTCTGTACTCTAGCCCTGTTCCCAGCTAAACTCCTAAGCACCGCACTTTACAATTCTATATTCCCTTCCTCCAAACCTAGGGTGGAATAATCAATGACTACTCAAGTAAATAACTCATCACAAGTTAATATGTTTATTCTGGTAAGCAAATCGTAAAGGAAAACA